ATGTATCCTCGATGGAGTTGCATGTCGGACATACTATTAATGTTAACTAGATGTTTAATGTCTGTTTTACTTATATTATTAAAACAATAAATTAAACCATTATTATTAGGGAAGGAAGCTAGTCGGCTGTTCTACATATCATGGGTGATAAATATTCAGAACGCAGTCTTTTAAAAAAAAAATTTTAATTATTTAATCGTGCCAACGTTTCAACCCAAACATGTGGGTCATCTTCAGGGCTAAAAATTTTAAAATACAATCAGAGATATAATGTTTCATTTACATATTTCATTTTTAATATGTGTATTGTAATATTAGTTAAGATTCACGTACCATCAATCACTATAGTTTATTATTTATAATTAGTGGTCGTATAATATTATATCTCTGATTGTATTTTAAAATTTTCAGCTCTGAAAATGACCCACATGTTTGGGTTGAAACGTTGACACAATTAAATAATTATTTTTTTTTTAAAAGGCTGCATTTTGAATATTTATCATACATTATTGTTAGGCTTAATTAACTCTGAAAATTTTATATTTATATTTTACTTCTAATTGTGATAATAATGGAAGAATTGATTAATTTATAAAACTTTACATTGATTTAATTTATTACTATTAATACTCTTTTCTCCTTTTTATTTTTTTAGTCATAATCCAATGAATGTATTATCTGAAAATAATTAAAATACTTTTAGTTAATTATTATTTATTTTATTGTTAAAATATTAAATGAAATTAATATTGGTGAAAATGCATTCTTACTGTTGATTGCCAAAAAGTAGTGATTGATTTCTTTTTACTTTCTCTTAATTATATGGTGTCTGGTATTATCACTTTGATAGCCTTATCTGGCTTAAGTGTGTATATTTGATAACGTTTTTTTATATAATGGTTGTTATGAATAGTTCTATATTTTTTTCAAGGTTGGGTGAGTAGATTCATGAATTTTAAATTAAATTCTTTTTTTTCTATTAAATTTAATAATAATTCAATGGTACGAACAGCCGTCAGCTACTTTTTTTTTATTAAAAACAATAAAGTGTGGGTTATTTAAAAAACAGTATAATGATAAAGTGTTGATTAACCTTTATATATTATTTCTCAATGATGATTTTTTTTTTTGCATGCCATATCTTTGTTAATTCTTCATTAAATCCAATGATCGACTCATCATTTTAAAGATTATCTTCTCCTTTAAGTTTTGAATTGGAGATAAGCATACATCCCTTAGTCAGGAGAAAAATTATGAAGAAAGAAAACTTTATTTGCATTTAACTCAAATAGTATGCAATTTATTGATTATACTCGTTATAATTTGAATGATTTCTAAATACTTGACAAAATGGAAGGAAATTAAATTTAAAAAATAATAATATAATCGAAATTGGACCATTCTTAGTAGAAATACATAATTGTTACACGTTTTGGTTCACTATTTTGAATGAACCGTTGTAATTAATTTCTCGCTTTTTATAATATTTTCCATTTGTTCACTGACCGATATACTATGCGAATTATGGAGACAGGCCAACTAGTTTTATTTCTTTTCAATGATTTTTTTAAATAAGTTACTTTAAAATTTAATAAAATATAAGGAATCATATTATAAATAGGTAAAAGCAAAACAGTTCAGTACTCTTCGCTGTTTCTGAACTGATTTTCTTTTTTTTATTTGGTGCTCTTTCGTCTTATTTTATATATTCCATCAAATGTTTTATCCAGAGCCACAATTCACCTGATTAACAATTGGATATCTGTATTCTATTTATATTTTAAGAGAACAAAATAAATATTGATGACCTTGGGAATTATATTTGATATTTTGAAAATTATAGATATTTTAGATTGGATAATAAGTCCAAAGGAAGAAGTTTTTCATGAAAAATTAATTAATTTAAGGCTTGTATTGTAGTTTTAAACAGAAAAAAAAATTCAATCAACTGAATTATATTTTCAAATTTCTTAATTGAAATGTTTAAATATTTCAAATTGAATAAATAAAAAGTATGCATACAACAACAAGGCAAACCTTATATCACCATTATCTCTTGTGTACTTTCCGTATCTTGGCTTATTTTTATACTTCTACCAACCTCATTTATTCTTAGCTCTGTTGTTTAATGCATGGTTCTTATTTGTTTATACTAATCATTTGGTTAGGGGAATGGGGTAGCTTAGTGTTAGGGCACTGATCTTCCAATGCTCGAGGTCCTGGATTGGAATCCCAGTTGATGGCAGACAAATTATTTATTCTGTTTCATCAGCTGTGGTAGCGACCCTAGGATCAGAAGACCCTCCTGGGTCACAACCAGCCTCTATAAAGTGGGTACCCTTAATTAAATAATTAATTAGGGAGAAAACCTGACGGTTGAGCGTGATCTCGGTCAAATCTCCTCCTTGCACAGCCGTTGACTAAGAAACAGTACTTTCCCTAAATAGTACTGAACCCAAGACCTTTCATAAGTTGTAGTGGTACAGGTTAAATCATTTGGTAAATTTATTTACTTTTCTTTTTTTTTTTTAAATAATGACCATCTAAGGATCACGTGTAAATCATTTTTTGGCTTTCTTATTAGCTCATATTCTCTTAATTTTCTCAATCATCTCTCTCTTTCGCTCGTCTATCCATTTTCCCCCCTCTTTCCTCTTCTCTACTATTACAACAGCCTTAATGTATTTTCTGAATTTTTCTTTATCCTGGAATTCTTTTTCTTTTTAATACCAAGTCTTGTTATTTCCTCTGACTGGGGTATCCTCAGATTTCTTAGACCCTTCATTTTGTTGAATATCTGTTTGTTCAACCTGTTTTCATTCATCCTTATCATGTTCCAAAAAAATTTAGACTCCCTTTTCCTTAATGATGTTTTCAAATCTTCAGTTCCTTCATATGATTGTTTGTTTTTTTTAGGCCAGAATTCTTCTACTTTTCTTGGTCCATGGATGCATGTTTGTATTTTACTTTCTATTTTTAGTAGTTTCTCCTAACTAGTGAATCCCAGTTTCTGATCTGTATAGTATCACCAGTCCTCACCACCATTTCATAGTGTCTTGATTTTTGCTTTATTCGAAAGATTGTCATTATAATAATAATACTTTATTTATTCTGAGACGAGTCCCTTTAGAATAATACAGAAAGAAAGAAATGTTGGTTAAGGGGGCTCAAAGATACATAAACAAAACTGCAGAGTAATTGAACAGTTATAGTAAAAAAAAAAATATATGAGTTACTTTCTAATTTTAATCAGTTAATAATAAAAAATAAAAATTGAGAAAAAAAAAGATGAAGTAAAAATAATGAAGAGCGAACTAATAATTTATATACATATTTACTGTAGTATGTATTTACAATTTCATGGGGACTGGATGGATAAGAAATTATTGAACAGGCGGGATTTAAAGGTAGGATGGGTATTGGGTTGACGAATGTGAGAAGGAATGAAGTTCCAAAGGGGTGAGGATTGGATAATGAATGATTTGTCGAAAGCAGCGGTTCGGTGGGCCCTTATGTATAAATCAGAAGACCGCGAACGAACAGAGGATTTGAATTCAAGGAGCTCGGAGATGTATGAGGGACGGTGGGATTGGATGACTTGAAAGAGGAAGGATGCCAGGAAATACTTACAACGGTAGGAAGGATAAAGCCACTTCAACTCTGTATAAAAACGGGAAACAGAAGCATCCCTTGGGATCCCGAAGATTAATCATACAAAGCAATTTATCAAACGCTTTAGTTTCACCTCGAGATCCCCAGAGACACCCCCATATACCGTACTGCATATTATAGGCATTCTTTCTCAAATGTCTTAATCTCTTCAATTTTACTTCCCAACTTTTTGTCTTCTGAGTGTCCCATCCGTTATAATTCATGTTTTTTTTTAGGTACTTATACTGCTTGACCGTATATACTTATTTAATTTTTTTCTTGTCATACTACTTATTATAACTTATTTATCTACCTCTATTTATATCTTATATTTCTGATTTTTTTTTTTTTTTAATTTTACTCCCTGATATGGTCTACATGTTTGTGTCAAAATGTCGGCACGCTTAAAAAACCGTATATAGATTGCAAATCCTCATAACTTTTAAATAACAGTCAGCTATATATCCATCTCTAAAGGTTTTCTGATATTCCCACATAAAAAAATAAAATAAAAAGTTGTTCCCAACTGAGGATCAATTAAAATGAAATATATTGTAACATCTCTCTCTTATATTTTACAAATAATAATATGACCTCATGGAAGCTCAATTTATACTGTTGGGATACTTCCAAAATAAATAAGATGTTATTAAATAATAAACAAAATTATAAGAGTATTAATACATTTATTTATCTCAGGTGTGAGTTCCTGACAATCAGATCAAAACACTCAGACAAACTAAAATTAACTACACTAAACACTGTTTGATTTTAAAATAAAGTGAAATATGGATTGGCAAGCTAACCTTTTTTCTATAGATACTGTCTCTTCCTTTGTTGCACTAAATTCATTTGTCTTCAAATACCTTACAATGTTCTGCCAAACACAACTTCCAAAATGGTAATACTTTCATCAACTCAAGCTCTCTGGGAGATCCTCTCTCTTTTGATTCCAAACAACTAGTCCCTCTGCCTAACAACAACTTCCAAGATGGTAATACTATTACTGGGTTTTACCCACTGGAGCCAGGATTCCTTCTCCTATCCTCTCTTCACTCCTGTCAAACACCAACTGCTTGCCCAAACAAAAATCTTTTTCCCTCTCCTATTTGGGATTTTCCTTTTTGGAGGAACTATACAGAGCAGCCATTCACTTTTCCCTGAACTAGTGAAACTAGGTTAGCCAGCTTTTTAACTATTACATTAATTTATCAAATCATTTTTACTCATTTCCAATAAAGGTATATATTGTAATGAATATTTCCTTTTTGTGCTAATATAGTCCAGTTTTAATTTTAAAATAGCAAGTTCTATAGATTACAAGTATTTTAGCTTTATTTTTTTATCGTAGGTCCAACAGTGTGATGAGTGAATGTCGTATCGGAGTGTTTGGTGCGGGCGTCGTAGGCCTGACCACTGCCTTGGAGCTGCAACAACGGATCAGGAACGCTCGCGTCACTGTTATTGCTGACAACTTTAAAGAAGACACAACAAGTGACAGGGCTGCGGGAATATTTAGTCCTGCCACCTATTTTTCTGGGCCTACACCTGAGGTTTCACAGTAAGGACAACCATTAATTGATAGAATATTATTTAATGAAAAAATATATTCAAGAACAATTGTACATTGTAACGTGTTTTTTTTTTTTTTTCAACTTAGAAGAAATTATAAAATGATAATTATATAATACTTCCTTACAGATTACTTCTTCTTTGGATGTGCAGTTAAATTATTAATATCGTTTCATGAATCAAATTTTATTACAACTTGAAGCAAAACAACTTAACACAATTTGTTTCTATATATCACAACAATAATCCCTATAATCTCTCTCTTAATTCCAACATCTGTTTTTTTCATATTCTTATCTTTTTATATCCTTATCATTTTGTCAACTGTGACAATATCCTTCAAAAATATTTTTGATCATTCACTATTCAAATGATTTTACAGAATGGCCAATACCAATATTCTTTTGGAGATTTCAAAACTATGAGATTTGTAAATTTCTTTTTCCTGAGCATTTTATTTGATGACAGTGAGCAAGAAGCTAATGAAAATAAAGAATATATTCATCGAAATGGTATTATTGCTAACTTTTCATTACTGGCCATAAATAACTCAGAGAACTTATTAATCATTTGCATGGTGGTTTCAAAAACATCTGTGTATACATGAATACGGGGGAACTGGGAAGCTTAGTGAATTAGGCCCTATGCTTTGAGTCCCCGAGTTCATAAAAAATTACAAAAGCTTATTCATTTCTAACTGGTACCATACTTCAGGGTCTGGGTTTGAGTTCTTCTATGGCAGATAATTATTTATTCTGTTAAATCAGCCATGGATCAACCCTGGCGAAGGGGGACCCTCCTGAGACAAAACCCAGCCTCTATAAAGTGGGTACTCTTAATTAATTAAGAAGAAAACCTGGCAGTTGAATGTGACCTCGACCAATCTTGTCCTTGCATAACTGTTAAACCTAGAAACAGTAATTCCTGACAAAGTACTCAACTCAAGACCCTCAGAGGATTGTAGTGGTGCAGATTTTTTTCATTATCACAACATGACCATTTATTTACTATAACAAATGTCCTGTTAGCAATCTCTATTTAAGCCCTTGTATTTTCTTTCAATGGGCCTAATCTTTCATGGGTTGTAATGAAAATGAAATTAAATGAAAAATAATTTTATTCTGGAATTGAATTCCTCTAAGAAAAGTAACAGAGTTAAAAAAAATATATAAAAATAAAATGACTTATATTAATTAACTGTTAGTAAGAAATTGTAATTACATAATATTTTTTTTTTTGTTTATTTAATGAAATTTACAACTGTATACAAATACAACTAGTAAATATACGCAAATTATAAATAATGGCATGTACAGGCTTGAAGAGATACTACCCAGTGGTAGCACTCTCTAAATAATTTTAAGTAAGAAGATCACGAGGCCATCTCCTTTTCAGACGCCTAGGAGGATTATCAGGGATCGAGGAAGAAGCAAGAGTGGAAACAAGCGGATTTGGATGGGACTAAAGTTTATCATGAAAGGATAGATATCTGGCTCGAGCTAAATCAGTGACTTATGGTATATTAAGGTCTTTATGAATGGTTTTATTTGTGACAAAGTATGGAGCATTTAGGATTTTATGGAGGATTTTGGATTGTAAGGATTGGATACGATAGGAATTCGATGGTTTGGTGGAGCCCCAAAGCTTAACTCCGTATGTCCATATAGGTCTTATTATAGTAATGTAGATAAGTCTTTTGTAATTAATTGAAAGTTTTGAGCGTTTGTCTAGTAAGTGTTGGAGCAGTCGGAAACGTCGAGCAGTTTCTTGTCGTTTCAGTCTAGTATGAGGATTCCAAGTAAGACGTTTATCCAAGTGGAGTCCTAAGTAGCGGATTTGCTCAACAGGAATAAATGGAGTATTATTGAAGGATACTGTAGGACAAGAAGTCATAGGTTTACGACGGAGGGTAAAGGTGATTTGATGGGATTTGTTGGAGTTTATTTTTATTCTCCAATTTTTACACCATTCTTCAAGGCTCGTGATATGTGCTTGAAGAGTTTGGGATGCAATTAAAGGGTCATTATTAACAGATAGCAAAGATGTGTCAATGGCGTAAGTGGTGATGACAGTGTACATAATCTTAAAATTCTTACATGTTTGCAGAAGTTTGAATGTGAATTAGGTGGTGGAATAGGAGTTTTTTAAAGGTATTTGTGGATATATTTTCATATATGGAGATATCTAAGAAGTTCCTATAGGAGTTAGTACAAATGATAAGCATTTATACAGATCTATAGGTCGAGATCAGATATTAAGAGAATGGATAGAGGAACGTAGAGTAAAGAGTTCTAGTATGTTGGAAGGAATTTTTAGGAATTGGAAAATGAAAACACGGAGAAGGAATTGCCATCAGAGAGTAGGATAAAGCCACTTCAACTCTGTGTACTAGGAGGAAACATGAGAACCTTTGGGAATCCCAAAGATGAGTCTTATGAAGCAATTCACGAGTCTTCAGTCTCATCTCCAGCCATGCCAACACCTTTGTAAATAACCTATTAAAAGTTAATTTTAAATAATTGGTTTTGGCGGGAATAGGGGAATAGCCTTCCGCTTTTATCGGGGAGCTAGGTTATTTACACTCGTGAATATTAAGACCAAACCCCGGCAATGGATATAGACTTTTTGAGGATGTTTAACTGTCATTGGGAATTCGGGAATCTAATACCTTTTGTGGGACTTAGTAAACACACTTCGAATGAATTGACTCACCTGGTTTGTTATTCTTCAATCGTGAGGCATATAGGACACCTAAATAAATAAATGGCTTTTCACTCCTGTCTAACAAAACAATTTATTTTACAACTGTAATAAGTGAATCTATATAAGTGAACTGTCGGCTTGATATTCTTGGTCTTCAATGTCTTGCTTCTCTCATCTCAGGTAACGTCCTCACGCCTCCATGTCTCAGCCTCAAGTAAGTTCTCCTCTCTTCTGACAACCTCCTTTCTACCTGCTCCGTCCTTCTTCATCGATTTTTTATCGATATGAGACTTTTCAATGAATAATTTGTCCACTGCACAATTGAGTACAATTCATCGTGCAACCTCACATTCCTATATATATTCCTTCTCATTCCCTCATACAATGTCAAGGAGTAAATACTGGGCGCTATCTACTACACCCTCCTTAAACGAAGTAACCGTAATCGAAGTGGGGAAAAACAACGGATGTTACAAGGAGCTGTCTGGTTGTTTTAGGAATAAAATCATGGTATCTTAAGAGTTGTTTAAGGATAGTCTAGGATAATCTAGAAAATATGGTTATTCCTGGAGAGGTTCTGATCAAAGGTTACTACAATGTTTTTTTGTTGTCAGGAGGAAATGGATGGGCAGTTATCGTGGTAAAGTTCTAGTGGGATAGTTTTCATTACTTGGCTCTTCTGCTCATCTCTTAGATGTTCCATAGGATTAGATTTGAAACACATATGATGGGAACTCCGAACGGGAGATACAAGTTCTTTTTAAATATTAGGATTTTTTTTATCTCAGTATTTATATTTCTTGCTGTAAAAAAACAAACAGTTTCAATCCATTAATTTTTAGCTTTTCGATAAGAATAGACTAAGCAGTAGATATATTTTATTATTATTATTTTTATTTTATTCTTGTTCGTCTGTTTTTCAGGGAATGGATCAATTACTCCTATAATTTTTATAAAGAATTGCAGAATGAATTAGGAATTGGAATTAGAGATTTGTCGGGTTATGTTCTGTCAAACAGATGCTATACTGAGACCAGGGTAATTATATATCAATATTTTGTTTAAAAATTTATGTTTTTATATGAACCTTAACCTTGAGCTACTTTCTGATTAATTGAATAAGGGAAATGAATCTTATAGGAGCATGCATGTTCAAAACAATATAATTTGAATGGGTAATCAGAAAATTTTAAGATAAATTTTGTATTGAAAACATGGAGATTTTTTTGTTTCTCTTATCCTATTTAATTTAGCTGGAGAATACTTCATTAAAAGGTTAATGCTCATAGCCATATAGGTATAAGAAAGAATATATTTGATTAAATTAATAAATGATGTAGAGATGGTTGACCGTTGATATGATATGAGAAGGAGTTAGTCGAGGGTGCGGTCAAATAAATAAAAAAATTAAAATATATAAATAATTTTAATTTTTGCCGACGTTTCGACCCACTTTGCAGGTCGTCTTCAGGGCTACAAAAGATACAAACATGTTGAAAAAATAAAAATAAAATAAAAAATAAATATAAGTATATATAAATTACAAAGAAGTTGTCAGATACAGAAATAAAAGATAAAGAAAATAAATACATGATAAGAAAGTAGATAAAAGAAAATAAATACATGAATGTTAACGAATAAATAGATTGAAAATTGAATAACTATTGTTACAGTAAAGTTAAAATATGGATAAGATAACATAAGATAAGATAACTTTACTGTAACAATAGTTATTCAATTTTCAATCTATTTATTCGTTAACATTCATGTATTTATTTTCTTTTATCTACTTTCTAATCATGTATTTATTTTCTTTATCTTTTATTTCTGTATCTGACAACTTCTTCGTAATTTATATATACTTATATTTATTTTTTATTTTATTTTTATTTTTTCAACATGTTTGTATCTTTTGTAGCCCTGAAGACGACCTGCAAAGTGGGTCGAAACGTCGGCAAAAATTAAAATTATTTATATATTTTAATTTTTTTATTTATTTGACCGCACCCTCGACTAACGCCTTCTCATAAATTAATAAATGTTTGTTATTTTTTCACTTGATAAAGTTACTTAACTTATTTCTTCATTTCATAAATTTAGAAGAAAAAAAAGTAATTTTTTGTAATAATGAAACTTGGCCGCTAACTGTGAAGAATTTATTTTATTATTATAAAGTTGGGATTTATAAAAAAAAAAAAATTATTTTTAAAAAGTTACAAATTATTCTGCGATACTTTATTATTTGCAAATAGTTATATATGAAAAATGTTTTGTGTGTCTCAATGTATGACTCATTACCACTTCAGGAAAGAGGCTTTTCATAGGAACATTGCAAAATACTTTTTAAAGATAAAAATTTAATTGATTTTAAAGAGAAGTTTCATCAAAGCAGTTTTGGCGAACAGCTTTTAGGAAAACTGATTTTTGAAGTATTGTGCACATGGTGTAATTGCTATCGTAATACATAGTTCTCATGGCCGAAACCCTATAAAACAAAAAAGTAATATCAAGAGATAATCTTGGCATAGACATTGTTCTCAGGAGTTTTGGTATTCTGGTTTCTAAACACTTAATATTCAGTTTTACTTAAAATATTTTAAATTTAATCCCATTTGTGATTTTAAGAGGCGTGTTATAAAAAATGTGTGTGTGTGAATCAAGCATTGGAAGTTAGGAGGGAAAAAATATGTTGTAACATCTCTCTCTTATATTTTACAAATAATAATATGACCTCATGGAAGCTCAATTTATACTGTTGGAATACTTCCAAAATAAATAAGAGGTTATTAAATAATAAACAAAATTATAAGAGTATTAATATATTTATTTATCTCAGGTGTGAGTTACTGATAATCAGATCAAAACACTCAGACAAACTAAAATTAACTCTACTAAACACTGTTTGATTTTAAAATAAAGTCATATATGGATTGGCAAGCTAACCTTTTTTTCTATAGATACTGTTTCATCCTTTGTGTCACTGAATTAATTTGTCTTTTATCATTTTCCTATGTTCTCCCAAACACATATCCCAAAATGGTAACACTATTCTTCTACTCAACTCATCCTCTCTCTTGTAATTCCAAACAACTAGTCTCTCCGCCAAACAACAACTTCCAAGGTGGTAATAGTATTACTGGGTTTTACCCACTGGAGCCAGGATCACTTCTATCCTCTCATCACTGCAGTCAAACAACAACTGCTTGCCAAAACAAAAACCTTTTCCCTGAACTAGTGAAACTAGATTAGCTTGCCTTTTAATTATTCAATATTAATTTATTAAACCCTTTTTACTCACTTCTAATAAAGGTGTACATTACAATATATATATAAATGTATGAAGAGAAGAATAGTTGGGGTGGTCAGTCAAAAGGGAAGGCAAAAAATAAATGATAATATTTATTTTTTACATATGCCGGACATTTCGACCTGAAGTTCAGACCTTCATGTCGAAACGTCGGCATATGCAAAAAATAAATATTATCATTTATTTTTTGCCTTCCCTTTTGACTGACCACCCCAACTATTCTTCTCTTCATTATCCACGAGTCAACCAATTACCAATTATGGATAAATAATAATAATCGTTACAGAGTGTATGTATATAAATGTATGTGTGTATGTCATATTTTAAATGCATATATTTAAAATATTAGTGACGCAGCAAGATATTGTTGAAATCTCTATGCACATATTACCCAGCAAATATTTATTTTTGACGGCAAAAAAAATAACACCAAGTTATTAATAACTTAGTAAATTAAATTTAAAACCCTCTTATTCTAATGCCTCTTCACAATCCAATCATACGCTGGTTAAATCCATACTATCTAATAAGGCTTTAATTTTCTATAGACATTTTTTTTCCTTTTATTTTTTATTGTTTTATTCTGTGTTGAACGTGAATTTTCATCACCACTCACTTAGCATTGTGAGTAGATAAAATTTGTTTTTCTTATTTTCTAATTTTTCTATTCATGAGATTGCATTTCGTTGAAATTTATTTTTATTTATTTTCTAATTATCTTCAACACACTCCTCGCTATGTGTATATATACGTACACTTTATTTTATTTTTTCTTCTCCTAATCTTTACGCATAAGCACTTTAATATCTTAGGGAACATATGTATATCATTTTTTTTTTTTTTTACAATTTCTTTCTTTACATATTAACAGTTATTATTATTTTTTTTAAATTTTTATATTCCATCACTACAATGCTTTACCTATAAAATTGATTTTGCGTTCCTTTCTAATTTCATTCAGTGATTATTATGCTATTGTTTTAGCTCCGATATTGTAGTACTGAACCCCTATTACCCAACTGTCCTCGTTAATTTATCCTAAGAGCTTAATTAATACTTTATTTAGTACTAGTATTTTGTTATTATTCATTGTAATAAGTCTTTTGGCCAGATTTATGGTTAATTTATATGAACAATACTGTTATTCTAAAGGGACCTAGTCCCAGAATAAAGATGATTTTTCTATTTCTATTAAATTAAAAATATGTAAGGTAAATGTGAACAATTAAATGACATGTATGCTGTGCCAAATAAACAAATAAAATTTCATACATAACTGAGATGAGGATGAATGAAATCTTTAATTAAACATTTTGAGAAAGGGAGTGCTTAAACATTTTTTTTTTTATTTGGTTACTATGATAAATTATTGAAAATAATATTAATTTATTAGTTTATTTATTATTGCTTCAGAACAAGTACCTGGAAACACTGCTACCTGTTTACCGTTCAGTTGATGGAGAGGAGCTCGCTTCTATTCCAACCGGAGACTGGAAATATGCTTCCTACCTGACAACACTGCTTATTGAATGCCGTCAGTACCAACCTTGGGCTATGAAAAGGTTAGTCGAACTGTCTGTGCTTTTGGAATTTATTTATTTCTTCAACTTGCTAAGATGATTTCTTTTATGATGAAATTACCAGGTGTGTAAATATGAACTCCTAATTCATCACTCACATGATTCTAGCTATTAAGTTTATGGTGTAGTTGTCGTTAGATTGTATTATTCGTACCATTTTGTTGCTTTAAAAGCTGGCAAAGATTGTCAGCTCACAACAATACAAGTTTCATATAACGGCATCATTTAAATTGTGTTAAACATGTTTAGATTATTCTGATCTACAAACTACGATTTGCGGACAGTATTAGTTTTGTTACCATTTAAGGACAACTGCTGCAGAATCGATTCAAATATTAATGTGAGCATGATCTTGGTAAATCATAGTGTTTTGAGTGATTTAGAAAATTCAAAAGTGACGAATTTGACACAAGAAATGAAGTATGTGAAAGACCACTGAAAATTAGAAGAAAGCAAATTGTAAGCATTATCAGATGAGGAATATGGTAAAACCCAAAAACTCACAGATCAGTTTTATGTAATATATGAAAATATTTATTTTGAAAGCCATGGAAAAGATCAAGAAGATGGATTCCACATGTACAGATGAAAGATAGCATGAAAACCACCTATGAATACTACTAGCCAGGTACAAAAAAAAAGTCATTTTCCATCACATTGTGACAGGTTATAAAAAATGGATATATTTTGAGAATTCCAAGCTTCAAAGATCATGGGTAACTCCAGTCGAACAATCAACATCAATCTCTCGGCCAAATCGCTATATGGAAAGAATACAATGAAATGAAATGAAATGAAAATAATTTTATTATTCTGGGACTAGTGTCCCTTTAGAACAAATCACAAATACAGATTATATATCAATATTTTGGTGTGTCCATGAAATACTATTTAATATTTACAGGTTGATTCAGAGTACAATAAAGTTCTAAATGATGAAAAGATATAAATATGTGTAAATATAAAATATACAAAGAAATTAATTAAGTGAATGAAATATCGGTGAATTACAAAATGATCAGAGTATCAGGGTGTACTTTGAGGTTTTTAAGTGCATTTCGTGATCAATCGGATTTAGAATATAGGCAGGTCGTCGTGTTGTAATGGCTCGGTATACGAAGCTAGCCAGAAAATATTGACGGCGGTAGGACGGATAGAGCCACTTCAACTTGGTGTAGAACTGGGTAATATGCGTATCCCTTGAGATCCCGAAGATGAAGCGGATTGAGCAATTCATTAGACGTTTAAGTTTGGCTTCGAGTTCTCCCGAGAGTCCACCATACACCATACAGCCATAGTCGAAGTGGGGAGAAAACAAGAGAGGAGACCAGGAGTTGACGGGTTTTGAACGGAAGAAGATAACATAGATGGTTAAACTGTTTCAGGGTGGATATAGTACGGCGGGAGAGGGTTTGATCGAAGGTAACGCCTAAGTTTTTAATAGTGGTATGGAAGGAGATAGGTGAGTTGTTCAGAAGAAGATTGGGAGGTATTGAAATGGATTTGAGGAGTGAGGGGGATCCGATCAGAATGGCTTTTGTCTTCTCTGTACGCTATGCTTGATGGAATCTGAAGGGTGTCATATATTATGAGCTGCTAAAGCCGTTACTACTGAAAGCTATCGGCAACAAATGATCGATTTGAATATATTTCTGCGTTTCAAACGACCTGAATATAAAAAAATATAAAACAAATTGATTTTTCTTACAACATACAAAATAAAACCAGTGAAGGAAACAATTAGTATAAAAAAATATTATTAAATTTGGATATTTATATGGATGGAAAATTAAAGATACCTTGACAGCTGGGTTCCGTTAAGTCAATGTGATGCCTTGTATTTGAAATACCAGGAGATGAGGGTGACAAAGACGGAGTAGGCGAATGATGTGAAGTTATCTATAGAGAGTCTGAGTTGTGGTGATGTTGGGGTAAAGTCTGCGTTGAGGATCTGATGTTACCTTGGAGTCTTGAACTGCAGCGAAGAGGTGCTGAATTTGTATCTGGCCGTTGTTGGTCCCGTGGTTTTTTGAGTCATATTGAATATTTAATAGTTGACCGTTGCATTATAAAGGAAGGAGATGGTCAGGGGTGGCAGTCATAAATAGCCTAAATAGTGGTAAAACTATTTTTATTAAAAGCCGACGTTTCAACCCGACTTTGCAGGTCTTCTTCAGGGAGGTGTGTTCAGCTAGGAGTTGAACTTAGAACTAAACTACTACTCCGTCTTCCTCACCCTCATCTCCTGGTATAAATATGAGGCATCACATTGACTTAACAGAACCCTGCTGTCTACGTAACTTTAATTTTCTTTGAAAAAATATTAGTTTGTGCAGCTTACTCACCACACTTGCCTTGGTGCGTTTACTATTTATTTGCATTGATGGGGCACACATTTGCCAGCAGCGCTTCATTTGTTATAAAAATGGCTTAATGACTGGTTTGCCACAAAACAGCAACAGTTTTCTGGCTCAGAAAGAGGGAAAGATGTATAGCTAGTGATAGACTTTATTTAAAATAGAATATTTTTTAACATTTTTATGCAATTAACATGTATTTTCTACACCGAAATTCTGGTTTCATATTTATACACTTGGTATTTATTTAATCATATACAAAACAATAATTTATGCAATCATTATAATAAGGAAATAATTATAGAAATATATTGAGGATAAAATCAGCTGCTTGCTGAAGTTTTCCTGAGTTCATAATAAAAGTTCAAATATAGTGAGAGAGAAAAAGCAAACAGAATTTTGATATTTTATGCACACATTCTTTCCACCATTTTTCATTTTGTACGAATCCCATTCCCTCTTCTCTGGTGCTACCCTACACCAAATCGTTTCTCATCATATCATCAACTAGAAAACTAGGTTGGTAACACTGGTCATAATATTCAATATCAGCATTTTGACAAAAACAACTGCTGTTCTGTCTCACTGCTGTGACAGTATTGGAATGTTCCTTCAATGATTTTTCTATATAGTAGCAAAGAAGAAATAATTATATTATATGTATGATGTAAATATTTTTTTTTTTTTTTTTTTTTTTTTTTTTTTTTTTTTTTTTTTTGTTATTATTTAAATGCAATAAAAGATCATGGTATATCTTTCAGTTTATACTTCTCCTTTTTTAGGATTCGTTCGAATGGGGGTGAAATAGTTTCTGGAAAAATTAACAGTTTTTCAGAAGTTGAGAACTTCGGCAAGTTTGATGTTGTGATGAACTGCACTGGTCTTGGTGCCAGGGTTCTGTGCAATGACAAGAAATTATTGCCTATTAGAGGTCAAGTCTTCAAGGTAATTTATTTCCCTATTTAAAAATATAAATTAACATTGGACAGTTCAATAATTTTTTTTAATTGTAACTCGTAAATACTGTAGAGTACCGTTAGTTATCTGAGGTAATCAATGCTAGCCCTAGTCCAGATACTGATATGATCTCAATAAACGACACTTATATATAACTTAAAATTGTAACTAGCAACAAATACTAACATGGGATACAAATAATATATTTTGACTTAATTTTATTTATATAATGTTTTGAGACTTTTTGACCTTGGGTCATTTTCACCCTAAATTAATGAAATTAAATGAAAAATGTTTTTATTCTGGGGCTATAGGCTCCTATGAATAATGACAAGGTTCAAAAATATGTTCATTGGTCTGGCATGTAAAAATAAAGCAAATGTACAAAAAAAAAATCAGTGGTAGTAAGAATTTGAAAATTCTTACTTGGTTACAGAAGATTGAATATAAAATTGGTAGTGGAGTAAAAGTTGTTTGAAGGAATTTGTGGATGAGGATTTACGTATGGTGAAAGCTTAGGAGTTCCAAAAGGAGATAGCGCGAACGATGAATGATTTGCTGAAGGAACTCGTTTTATAAGAGAGGATACATAGCTCTACAGCTTAGGATCTGGTATTAAGAGAATAGATAGTGGAACGTAGAGTAAGGAGTTCTAGGATGTAGGGAGCATGTTTGGTTCTGACTTGAAAAAAAAATAAAACCAAGAAGGAATTGTTATCGGCAAGTAGGATAGAGCCACTTCAACATGAGAACGTCCGGGAATCACAAAGATGAATGTTATGAAGCAAATCATGGGTCTCTTCAGTCTTGCTTCCAGCCTTGCAGACAATCCTCCATACACCAAGCAACTGTAATCGAAGTGGTGGAAAACAAGGAAGTTACAAGGAGATGTCTGGTTTTGTTACTCCAAGGTTTTTGATTGTCGGAAGGAAATGGATGGGGCGGTTATTGAGGTAAAGTATAGGAGAGTAAGAAAGGGAACCAATGAGACGTCTGGAATCGATGAGGATAACCTTTTTATTATCTGCATTCGACTTAAATTCATTTATATATTACATTTTTACGATTTTTTCAAAAACCGCTCTAACGATTTTGATTAAATTCATCATATCAGTGTAAAATAAAGCAGTTTTAAATAAAATTTAGTTTTTATTCTGAATGATGTTCTCTGACAGGGCTTAAATGGCTAATTTTCAGTATCAGCTTCCTCTATAGTACCTTTATTTATTTATTTTTTTTTTAAACAATTGACTATTTCACATTAATCTATAATATGAAAAATATTTAAATATAAAATATGAAAGAATTTGATAATTAACTAAAGAAGAAATAAGAGATCGTATCGGAGAATATTTGTAATTAAGGAACCAAGGGAATGCGAGCTCACCCGCACTCCCCCTAAAGATTAGAACACACTTCCATATGTAACATGAGCTTAATATAATAAGGACTCCAACAATATTATGTAAATATACATATTTGGTTTTCATAGATCCTATTGATGGTATTATTAAATATTTAATTGTATAGAATACAGCGATATAAATATTAAAATTTGTATATATAAGGGTACTTATAAAAATAAAAATACCCACAATGAATTCTAAATTAATATAGCATTTGTAATTTTTACTTTCACTTACCCTTTGTCTAAAAATACTTATTCCTGATAAAAAGAAGGTGGTAATTGAAAGTTGTGTGATGCGCCCACCGCACCAGAGTTTTTATACATAATCTGGTTACATATTCAACCTGATTATTTAAAAAATGAAGTATTCACCTCAGGAGGAAGAAATAATTGCTCGCAAACCATAAAGAAACTATTTGCAGTTAAATATACAAGTGTAATTAAAATTAAAAAGTTAAAAATCACAAAAAGAAAAGTTAAGAAAACAATAACAAATACAGTACACAGCAAAGAACCAATACCATTTAGAGTACAATAAATATATTAATAAGATAGTAAAATTGATTTTGTGATACTATCAGCCTTCCACTTATCTTAAGATATGGCACCTTCACTAATCTTGCTAACTTTATTTTATAAATTTTCGGTATGATTTTGTTCCTAGGTAGATGCACCCTGGCTTGACAAATTCTATTACGGTGGCAGTGATACTTACATCATACCAGGAATATGGGCAGCCACTCTAGGAGGCACTAGAAATTTCAACAGTTGGGACACATCAGTTAGCAGATACGACTCTGCTTGCATCTGGGATAAGTGTACCAGAATTGTACCACGTCTGGCAAAAGCTCCTGTTCTCGCTGAAGCTGTTGGCCTGCGTCCATATCGTCCTATTGTTCGAGTCGAACCAGAGATCATCAATGGTCTAAAGGTATGTGTTATGATATTATATCTTTCAGGAGGTTTTGATTAACAACAAAAACAAGTAAATTTAACAATATATTGATTATTTTTATCATTGGTAAATGGTTGACTGTCGTGGATAATGAAGAGAAGAATAGTTGGGATGGTCAGTCAAAAAAGAAGGCAAAAATAAATGATAATATTTATTTTTACATATGCCGACATTTCGACCTGAAGTTCAGGCCTTCATCAGGGCTAAGAAAATAACCAGATAACAAGGTATGAGAAACATAAGTAGTGATGGTAAAAAAAATAAAGAAAAAAAATAAAGTAAAATTAAATTGTTAGAATAATGGCAATAGTAAGAACTAAGAGATAAATAATAATAACCGTTACAAAGTGTGGAATGATGAAGTAAGCATAATCAAAAAGGGTGACATAAGTGTTAAAATGGGAATCTTAGAATAAAATGTAAAACATAAAAAAGAAATATGAAGTTATATAAGAAATGAAAATAAATAGTAAAATTAAGACGTTGAGAATGGAGTAGTTGGATAGAAAATTGAGATATTGTAAAGTCTATCAAGATGTACAGACAATGTATAATATAATAAAGAGTTAAAAACAGAGAAAAGGGATGGAAGGAAGGAGGGAAGAAATTGAGAAAGCTGAAATAAGAAAGAAATAAAAGAAGTAGTACCTGTCTCCAAAAGTGTTGCAGCGAGAATAAAAGTCGTAGCAAGGGAGGGGGAGAGAGAAGAGATGTGTATGTGGCGTGATTAAATTATTATTCTAAAATATAATCCTTACTGGAGGCCCTGTATTTACATAAATACAAATATAATTTACATTTGAAAAAAACATCGTAACCTTAACATTGCATTGGCTGCACTATTATTTCAATATTTTTGCTAATTATAAATCTTTTTGCCGAATTAAGTGAAGGGTTGTTTGTTTGGTAAAGGTAAAAGCTGTGTAATGATTTTTTAAGCCAACAGCTGGATGGCTCAAATTTTTTGGTGAGATTACCTCAGTGTTTTGAAACAATGAGAGCTAAAAACACGGTACCGTAATTGGATAAAGTGTGTTTAATCGATTGGCTAAAAGGTTTGTAACAATTATTTGAAGGAATGGCTAGATTGATTTTGAAGTTCAACGATCTAAGGGGCCTTTCATAACGAAGATGCATTCATCCTGGATGGAGGATGTAAGTGTGTGTTGCATTCTGATGAAACGGCTTTCATACCATAGTTGTACATGCCACTTGCACCTTCTGTTTATGTCCATTATCTCTGTCTAGTTTAGTGTATGAGTTTGAAAGATGAATAATCAATCATTCAACTCTTTAGACTAGATTATTATTCTGGCTTTTGCAGTCAGAAGACGAAAACTAAGAAGGAATTGTTTATGACAACATCTTTACTGAGATAATGCTTGAAAGAATAGCCCTGCTACTGTGTCTCAGCAATTACTGAACCACCCAGTAAAGTTTCAGGCGTATTACAAAATGGAGATTTTGACTTTTAACAAGTTGTTTGATCTCATGCAACCGTACTTGGAACACAATGTCTAATTGAAGTCTGAAATGAAACTGGGCGAGTCGGGTGAGAGTGGCGAGTATGCAAGACCAGCACAACAAAGCTGCATTCTGAAATCTCCAGCCGGCTGGTTTTCAAGAGACAAGTGCGTCTTGCATCTTCAGTGTGAAACCTCTTGTTCAGGTACAAGTAGACTTTCTACCACTCCTTTTATTCTGTTTGTAGTCAAGTCGACCAATTATTTGATGATTCAGGGCTTAGCCTGTTCCATTCTTGGAGGGATTATTTTTTTTAAGTCTTTTCTAAAAGTTTGGTCTTTTAATTTCTACCTCTAATTCTCCCCATTGGTGTTCTGTCACAATTAAGATCTGGTGACTGTGGTGGTGTTTTTATAACTTTGGAGTCACTATGCTAATGAAACAAAAAAATTTTTTAGCCTAAATTTTGCACAATTTCTTTCAAGTTTCTTCTCAAAATGTCTTATGTAATAATGTTTATTCACTATACAATGTGAATATTTTCACTATAAAGTGAAGATTTTCTATACCAGAAGCCACTATACATCCACACACCAATAAACATAACAAGAAAAGAACATCAAACATAGCATAATAACAAGAAAAAGAAAATGATACTTTGCAATGATGTTTATTGAGTACAATAAATTATTGTTTTTAATTTAATATAAATAAAACTATTTATTTATTCAATAATTTCTATCAATATCCAGGCATATCATTTTGACTGTGAGCCACTGCACTCACTAGCAGATCCAGGATTTCATTTTGGGAAGGCTTCAACCTGAAATTTTTTTTTGTTTTTAAATATAACAAAAATTACTTCGAAAGAAACTAAGTACCTATACAAAATGGTGTTAAAATGATTCTTGAAATCCTATTAAATATAATTACATGCTGATATTTTACCATTTTGGGGGGGCTTCAGCCCAAAAGCCCCTCCCCTTCCTGTGGATCCGCCTGTGACTGTACTTATCAATTTTCCTAACAATCTACCAAGGTGTTTAAGTAGATATGGAAGTATATATCTTCTTAAGGTGGATATAATTTCCCAATTTCTGTAGTCTGTCTTTTTTTAATTCAGATATTTTTTTGTTATTTAAAAATTCCAACACAATCTTTAAACCTTGTCCCAGAATAAAGTTTATTTTCTATGAATCTATGCTTATTTTTTTTTTAATGCTTGTTTTTGATTCCTTATTTTTTTTTTCTTGCAGGTAGTTCATAATTACGGTCATGGCGGTTACGGAGTTACTTCAGCTCCGGGAACTGCTCATACAGCAACTAGCTATGCTATAGACCTCCTGAGGGGAACCTCAAGCAAGCTATAACGTTGTTAGATATATTATATATTTGATATATGTACAACACTATACCAATAAGTTATTCTGTATAATAGAACATAGCATTTGTAGCAGCTGTAGCTTCAATAGGAGATAGATCTATAAGCCCTTGAACTTTGTACCCTCAGCCTCAAGAGAGTGTGCTTAGCGGCTGGTGAACTTCCATACGGGATTTCATATGTATCATCTGACAGCTTATCCATATTGTATAATAATTTTAAACAGAATAGCATCTCAATTTTCTTCTCTCTTATCCCTTACTGTAAATATTTATTTAACTGTCTCTTTACAGTTACTCGGAGATGCGCTGTTTAACGTCCATGAGTTTGTAAAGGTCTAAGCACACCTTTAATATTTGTAATTAAATGAACTTTGTTGATGACAATGAAAAAAAAAAAAGCTGGTTTTACTATATCAGCCCTATGGTTCTCTACCATAAAAATTAGCTTAAAAAATTTACAAGTATATATAGCTATATACTTTGTTTTTTTTTTATTTTTTCACCTCTTGATTAGTTTAAGATTAACCCAGTTATAGACGCTGTTTAAAGCTAGGCAATATTTGGTCGCTTAAATCTTGTTCTGTAATAAACATCTCATTTTTTTTTATAGTTACACTATACATCAAAGAACGCTGGAAGGAAAAGACATTATCAAAATAACATAAATATTTAAAAAAGATATTTAATTGTTTGTTAAATATTAAAGTTACTTATTTGTTGCTGATGCGTAGTATTAAAATATACTTCAATCATGTTTATTATAAAGGTTTATAAAACATTAGTTCCGAATTATAAAAGAAGTAATATTTACCAATAGCATCATATCAAAATTTAAGATTATTATTCAATAAGGCATATTTCTTTAATTCTGCCTGCTTCAGTATCAGTGTTTTCTTCACTCCGAAACCTCTTTCAAATTTTCTTCTTTTGTAATTTTCATTTTCAAACGGAAAAAACTTAACAATTCTTTAAAATACTAATAATAGTCAATTTCATCAATTATGTCTTCTTACAATATTGATATATTGTATAATTTACTATAATTATAATTTACTATTTTGTGGGAAATGTTTTTATTAATATATAGTTATAAATATAGAAAATTAGCAGATTAGTCGCATATATCAAATTATGTGAATCACATTTATAAGCAGTAAGTAAAAAGTTAAAAATATTTATGCAATTTTAAACAACCACGACCAGTATATCGTAAGAAAGATTTAAAAATGTCTTTTTTTTTTGTTTTTGAAGTTGTATCGCGACTATTGCTGGGTTAATCAATGCTTTTCAGATTATTGTTATTCATTAAAAATTAATAATATTTTACGTTTAAAATAAGCAATTAATGAAGGTGAAGAATTTCAAAACCAGCAGACTATTTTCTATGTATTTTTTTATTAACAATTTGATACTAGATTGTCATATCAAAATATTTCTTCACAAAACTTGAATTGCATCTTATTCAACTGTTTTTTTTAAAGAAATTCCTTTATGTTACGATAATCTAATATCAAATTTTAACTAAATAAAAAATGAAAATGGAATTGACTTGTTTTGGATTTTATTTTGCCTCGATTTGTTTATTTTATTTTTGAAAAATCACTTTATTGTTCTTTCAACGGTTCATAATTACTTTATTAACATGGATCCTGAGTGTTATTCTTTAAACTTGTCAGCTGTTTTAAGTCTTCTTTCGTACCACCTTTTTGATCTATTATATCAAATCACATTCTTATTGTATATTATATTCTTTATATTTTATTAATGACTGATTTTTTTCTCTTTTATTTTTGTTTCTAATAATAATAATATTAAGTTGAAGAGATTAGTACTTATAATAATTTGTCGGTTGAGGCACTATTTTATTAATATATGTTTTATGGCTTTGAGGTTCACTTTTCGCTTGATGGAGCTGTAAAAGAAACATAAAGTCATACAATAGTAAAAACTTGTTTGATAACATTTTAAAAGCATTCCTTTTGTTTTGTTTTTCAAAATAAATGTCAATCATATAAATTATTACTGTTAGTTCTCGAGTGTGTATCTAAACGTTTAAGTACTTAAATCAATTAAAATTAATCATAAAAGAGGTAATAGAGTTCTGTAAAAAAAAAAAAAAAAAAAAAATCACTCCAAATTGTTCTACAAATCCTTTTTATTGCGCTTCCATAAAACCCGTTATAGATATTTTTTTTAAGATTCCTTTGTTATATTAAACTACTGATAATTTACCTACAACTGCTTTATTTAATACAATTTTTAATGATGTAGAGATGGTTGACTGTTGGATATAATATAAGAAGGAGTTGATCAGGGGGTGCGGTCAAATTAATACTAAATTAAACAAGTAGAATTATTTAAGTTTGCCGACGTTTCGACCCACTTCATCAGGGCGTAGGCAGTTGAAACACTGGCACACAGCAGTGTTTCAACTGCCTCCCGCAGTGCTACATCCTAGGCCCTGATGAAGACCTGCAAAGTGGGTCGAAACGTCGGCAAAAATTAAATAATTCTAATTGTTTAATTTAGTATTAATTTGACCCCACCCCCCGATCAACTCCTCATATTACAATTTTTATGTAGTCAAATTTTATTTGCATTCCAGTTCTCATCATTTTTCTGTTTTTAATTTAATTATCAAAAATACTTTAGATCTAATTTAATTTATAAACTTCATTAAATATAAAGCTAAAATTATCATTTTTTATCTTAAGTTTATTACAATAAAATTAATACTTTATATAAGCAAAGTAAAATTTTTGGATTGTAAATTAAAATAGTTCAAGAAAATTATTAGTTTTTTAATGTTATGTTTAAACGAAGTCTGATCAATGCTATATTTAGTTTCATATGAAAAATTATTCAAATACTTATTTAATCAATAGATCTACATATCTAAACTTAATTTAACCTTACGTTTTAACTTGTTATGGTTGTGTGTTATTTATATGTTTCTTCATTTATTAATAATCTTGTTCTATTTGTCTGTAAATATTTATTAATATTATTTCTAAATTATGTAAATTTATTTGTACTAATATTCCATTTTTTTATACAATAATTTGGAGTGTTATTAGTCAATTGACATTCGGGAAAGTTAGGGGTTACTTTTTCGTATTTTTATCCGATGCGAACATTAACCAAAGTCTCAATTGGCCTAGCCAGTTTACAAACGTATATTTATATAGTTTAAAAAAAATGCCATATCACACACAATTGTAATAATTTTGTATATTTAGTATGTGTATAATCTAGTTGTCGCTGGTTATCTCGGCACTGTTTATTGAGGACACATAGAATTAGAAGAAAACGTACAAAGACTTCAGGATTATCTAATGATAAGGAGAGTCATTAGGCAGAATTTAAATTGTCTTAGTTAGAACAAATATCAGGCGATTCTTTGTACGATCGATGTAGTATCTATTTTATTATTATTTTTTTTTTTTTTTGTTCTTTTATATTATTGTGTACTTTTAACAATGTTGTAATATTCCAACTGAACCAGTTGGTGTTACGTTACATACTGTTTCATTTGGATTCTGCTTCGACTATGAGAAGTAATATTAACGTGTAGTTTTAAAAGAAACAATAAGGAAAACTATGTTAGTAGTTATAAAAGGATACCTTTTTATTAAGGCTTGTAATGTAGGATGGAGGTGTGTACAAATTCTATTTTTTATATTTGGTCTTACCTTCTACGGTTTCCTCTACGAGGAGGGGATCGTTTTAGTCGTTTCCAACCTGTTATTCCCTTTCGTAGACCCTAAGGGATCTAGTTTGTTCAATTTATATGTAAACAACAAACGTCTAGATTGATAGCAGTTATAGAACACCAAAAGGAAATCTTAATTAATGATTTTTACGTTGCTGCTACTTATATTTTTAAGTTTCAGTTGATGGGACCATTTTTGTGAAATTTTAATTACCACTTGTAATTCAGAGATCAAATGAAGAGTACATGTTCATGTAACCATTTGCACTTGTAAATAACATAACACAATTTTTGATTTGCTACTAAGTCATAACAAGTAATTTATTTATTACTATTATGTATAGATTCTTTTTTTTTTTTTTTTTTTTTGTTTTTCTAAGCAGAGCTAAATATTTAAGCAATATTGCAACAAAAATTATTTATATTTCAGAGTCACAGTATATTATTTGTATTTGTTCAAAAATCCAAATATAACATTATGTAAATATTGTGATTTTTTTTTTCTTCCCCCAAGTGTTTCAATTTCAGTGTTTTTATTATTTATGGTTAGGCTAAATGTACCAGTAATACTCGAAGAGAAAGTTTCATCATTAATGTGAAACACAGCTTTAGTTCTGTTTATGTTTCTTTGCAAAGGGCTCTAATTGACATCAAATTTTTTTCTATACAGTCAATAAGTCAACTATTCATGAAAAACTTCTGACAGTATATATTGCACCAGTATTAGGTAGTATAGTACTCAAGTTTTGAGGTCAATAAGTTTTTTATAAAATTAAAAAAAATAAAATAAATTCTGTGTTGTTTTAAATTAAGAAATGGCAAACAGCAGATGAATGAATCAACAAAGTGAAAGGAAACAAAGACCCAGTGATGCTCCATTCAGAAATTAACTACCAATCAACTATTGTGGTATGATATTACTTGAGCTTCAGGTATTACCCTCATAGTGTTTTAATTGCAAATCTACTTGTTGATGCCAACAAGAATAATTTTATTGTTTATTTTCACCATATCATAATAAGAAGAGTAAATTTAATTTTGTATAACTGTTACTAAATATTATATACAGGCCCTAAATATTTCATACTCAAAGACGTCCCAGCGACAATGTTTTCGGCCAGTTCTGGGTCAGCCCGTCTCTCGTCGTATCACTTAATACCAGAGGTAAAAAGAAAACATTGGGAAATCAGTATGGCTGCTGGAAGCAATGTGTATAGAACTGACTCTATGACGTTCTCCGTCCCGTCACAATGTACCTGGCAATCCCGATGGTTTCATCTCACTAGGTTGTGACGGCGACTTCCCCCCTCTGGGACATTATCTTACAAGAGAACTCTCGTCAGCTGCAACACGTAATATGAGCCGGCTGGAGATTGCATTTTATTTTAATGTATAAATAGTTTTAAGGTGAGTGGCGCCACTCTAAAACATTAATGACCCCACGGATCTCAGGTGTTATCATCAGGAAATAAAAACATTATTTATCAATTAATCACATCACAATGAGGTTGAACTCTGTCTTATATACTACTTCTTGCAATGCTCTTTCAGAGTACTTAATAGTGTAATGGCTAGCATCTTATTTTACAATAGTAAATTGACAGGTTCATTGCAAGGTAAATTATGGCCTTGTGTAATATAATTTTAAAACAATTAAATTAACATCTGGATTACTTGCATTTTCATTAAATAATAATAATTAATTATTTTGATAATAAAACAGCCCTAGAGAACACCTGAAGGATACAAGTTGAGGTCAAATGAAGAAATATATAAGGAAACAACAGATCTAGAAACTGAAGCTAGGGTGGGAAGGCTGAGGTTCTTTGGTCATATGATGAGGATGAATCCTGAAAGACTTAACCATAAAATCTTTCAGTGCATCCACAGTCATAAAAATTTAAGCGGGTATTTTAAACAGATTAAGGATGATATGGACCAAGTGGGGCTAAGAGAACAAGATTGTTTGGACAGAGATGAGTACAGGAAGGCACTCAAGAGAATAACGGTTCTTGTGGGAAAGAAGCGCTACAAAAAGTGTGTTGCGTGGTCTGAGGAGAGAAAACGTAAGCACGCGGAGCTCATGAGGGGCATAAGGCTAATAAGGCCTGTTCGTGAAAAAAAAAACCGCCCTAGAACATTGTAAATTTAATTCATCAGTTTGAGGTTGTTTTCCTTTTGTTTAATGTTTATAGTAACATTTTATTTCTCTCATTTATTACTATTTTGTATTTAGGGAAATATTATTAATTTATAATTTTAATTTATTAATTTGTTAGCATGTTCATTCCATTTGTTATTATTTTCAATATACATAGATTTTCTGCTATTCCGCATTTCGCTTTTTTATACATACTTATCCTCAATGGATTTCTTTTTAATATTTTAAAGGTTAAAAAATAAATTAATTAATAAGGCAATAAACAGTACCTATGGATTGGTATAGCAGATTTGGGGGTTCACATTTGAATGCCTGCTGCCTCCACATTACTAATATTTGCACTCTCTTTTTTTTTAGTATATAAAGCTTATCTGTTAATGAGTTTAAAACTGCCTATTACTAGTAGAGTAGTGGTGGGATGATTAAGCAATCTGTTTAATTTAAACAGTTTCTGTCATTAAACAGATACAGTAAACTGTTTCACTTGAGATTAAACAGAAACAAGGATTATATCCCATTAGGAAGAAGCAGGTTCTAACAATCAGTGCTGAAGTCATCGATGAACTCGGTGGTGAGTTTAGGAAGTTACCCAAGCCATCTCAGTTTTAAAGGTTTGAGTCCAGTGCCCGAACATCAGGAACAAGCTCAAAATACAAAAAGCCTTCGAAGTCGCACCAAAATAAGCATCACTTAATTTCCTAATCGATATTGTTGAACCTCCGGTTCTGCAGCTTAAACCTGGTCGTACCCACTGCTTATGTTTGTCATTTATGATAATTTTTTCCCATAATCTGTCATGTTTCTGATTTTGAAGAAAAAACGTTCAAACATCAATTCACTGTTGAGCTTGGGACTCTGTCAAGTCATGTGGGTCAGACCTGGGTCCTAAATTCCATATGCCCAGGTTTTTAAGACGATGAGCCACTAAGGCATTAGAAGCCCCGACTACAGCGATAAATCACAAGTAATTACATGTGGGTTTTCACATTTAAGAACGTCATCATTAATGACCAATGGGCAACTTGATCTGCAAGGCTCATATTCGCATTGTTAAAAGGCCTGAACTAAATTGCAGTAGTGCTTCGATGGGCAACTGACTCTCCTTTTAAGGCACAAATATCTTCTGTGGCTGCCTTTGCCCTTAAGACCTTTTTTTCAGTAATGTTTCAAAAGACTGCGAATTCTGTATTTTCTTTCGACATTGTACGTGCATTTAAAAAATGTAAATGAATAAAGCCCAATAAAGCCAACTCAAGTCACAAGGAATTAAAGGATTAGTCAAAGTAAACATTGATATAAATTGTTGCGGCCAACAGTTAATTAAAAAGAGTACATTGAAATAAATTTCATACGTTACAGATGATCGTTATAATTCAATAAAAAACAGATGTAAACTCTCGATATATCTCTAAACAGTGTGCAGAAAGTTCTGTCAGGCCAAATGTCAATTCTTCTGTCATTATTGTTGTGCTACATTTATGTAACGCCTACATTAGGGACATAGCCAGGACAGCACAAATATCCATTTCGCCGGAATAGTAGCGTGAAGAGGAAACAAGAACTAATACAGATCGACAACGATGCCAATGAGGTGCAACATAGGAAATTCCTCTTCTTCTCCAGGCCTTGGCTATATCCACCCTAGGAACTTGAAGATGTGTGGGCTCTGGAGGGTCTCTCTGGGCATGGAAGGTTGGCACTGAGGGCTGGAACCGCTCTTCGTAATTTACTTGCAGCGTGAGATCTCAACTGAGAGTGCTGTATTAACCATGTAATACATTCACAAAGGTGCAGTAAGGCTAAATTTAAAAACTGTTAAAAGTAACCATAACCATCACATGTAAAGTTATTTTTTTAAATGGTGGATTAATAGCTGACTGTCATGAATTTAATGAAGAGGAGTTGGTTAGGGTTAGGAGTCACAAGTAAAAAATAAATTAAATTATTTTTGCCGACGTTTCAGCCGTGAACCTTAGGCCGAAACATCAGCAAAAATAAAAATAAATATAATTTATTATTTTTATTTCTTTAAATAAAACTTAATAATAGGTATTCGGCAAAATTGTTGTTTTCTGGCTTACGCAGGTCTCCAGGTACACTTTCAATTGCAAAGAACCTTGGGCCTACACATAAACAATCTTATAGGATTATAGAGTTGGAATTAATAGTTTCGTTCATGTATAGGAACTTCTGTAACAACCTAGTACATATTCAAACAATTTTCAACATTCATCTTTACGTCATTGTTTATCCACAATCTACAATAGAACGATATTACGGATATGGAAATTTTCCAAGGGAATGCTTCAAGAAGAAAACCCTTGACAAAACAAGTAACATTTATTATATTTATAATATATATATGCATTTATATTACTTTTTATAAAAAGGAAAAAAAAAAAACATGGGCATAAGATGTCATACAAAATTGGGATAAAGCCATATAGTAAATGTTAATATAATGAAACTGTTCATTGTGGTAACAATGTAATTAGAGGAGAATAAGGGTGACTGTTTTTACCTTTAAAAAATGTTTTACAATCGAAACCAAAGATTATTAATTATAAAATAATAATAAAAATGTATCAGATATAACCTAAATTTAATCTACATCAATAATTTGTTAGATAAAACGTCCCCTAATGCCTGGAAACAACGATGAATACATATGGGGACAATATAAAAGATCAGAATAACATAAATAAATAAGAAAATAGTTATTAAAACTTATTACTCAATCGCACAAATTATTATTAAGAGATAAAGAGATAGCAATCACATATGATTAATAATAGCAACCAACTAGTAAAGAAATAATTTCAAATATGATCTAATAATTATTGATACAGAAAAGGATAAGAACCCATCAACATAATATTACAATCAGAAATTAACTCTATACCTTAATGAGAAGAGAAAGAGAGAGCACATTTATAAGTTCCACTGCTACCACGATAATTAACTCATCTTTTCAATAATAAATAAAGATCGCAAGAAAGGAAGGTAAAAACAGTCAAAACAAATTTTTAACATCAGATACAAAGTTAGAAATAGAACAAAAATCCTCCGGGGGGGGGAAACAAACTACATGATAGCTGAAAAACAAAATGACACCATTGAGATAGTGTAATCAAATATACATCATCTCCGCCATAACTGACATCTTTTTCGGAATATGAACAAAGAGGTCGAAGTACGAGGCCAGTTCTTCGATGCTGGTGTCGTCCGGAGAGGGGTTGCGGGCTTGGACAGCACACATGGCAGCCGGTCGACTCTGCTGGCCGCTCGGTTGTTGCCCACCATCTTGCTGCTCCCACCTGGCGGTGGTGAGCGGGAGCGGTGAGGAGCAAGTCGGGGTCACCCTCAGCACGGGAGCCCTCAGCAGGACCCTCGACGACCCCTGGAGCCGGCTAGTGCAGCTGTCGCTCGGTGAGGCAGCAGCTTCCCTGATCGCATAGATCATACGTATTATATATACAGTTAGATTTCAAACAAAGTGATTATGATAACCCTACTAATAAATTATATTATGAGGATGACAATCAGGATTTGAAATCTATATAGTTTATTAGCCAATTTTTTTTACCTAAGCATGTGGATCAACATCAAGGCTAAATTAAATTAAAAATTACATCAATACATAATTACATGATAAAAAACAGAAAAATGTGACATAGATAGAAGTACATAAATAAGACAAGATATAAAGTTGGAAAGTACACATAAAATGATGATAATATAAACCATAAGAGTAAGCCAATGAAAAAATATAAGATTGTCTACGATAATTCGAAGATGGGTACTTATTTAATAGCGGGTAACGTCAAAACCTCCCTTCTTATCTAATCTTATTTCACATAACCTCCCTTATCTCATCTAACGTAAGTTATTCCCTTTGTTTACTTTTTGTTTCTTGTGTTAGCTGTGAGTTAGTCTTATTTAATTATGGATGTTGTCACATTGTGGGAATTGCCGTTTTCAGAAGAAGAGGCTATAAAATATTTTTAAGATGCCGGGATATTTGCAAAGGTCATATATTGTCATGAAGGTGATCAAATGAAGTACGACGGGAAGATTAAATGGAGATGCTTTCGTAGTTGTAACAAAACCGTTTCTATAAGCAAAGGAACGTGGTTAAAGGTTTGTTTATATCGTTTGTTTGAACATGGTTAGTGGTTTGTTGATATCGTTTCTTCATAGTGTTTCTTTTATATGTATATATGCGTTTTTTTTATTATTTCATTTATTTTTTTATATATGTTGCAATGTTTTTTAATTATATATTTATAATGTTTTGGTCTATTTTAATATATATGTAGTAAAATAAAAATATTTTATTATTACATTTGTTCTTGTTTAGACAATTTCAATAATATCAATACATTACAATAAATAAGAATACGAAGATATAATAATATGAATATAATACAATAAATATGAATACGAAGAGCTTATCAATGTTAAGGTTATAAACATTGGCAGATAGCAGTCAGACGCTACCCGCTATTAAATAAGTACCTGAAGATGTTCCATAAGGGGCCATGTGATAAAAGGAGTAATCTGCTACCCAGTTTGGATAGAGCAGCCCTTAAAAAGCGATCTAAACTCGACATTGTAAGTTGAGCTATTACATGCACATTCTCAAACTGAATCTATTGTGTAGATTCTGCCATGAAGAGAAGTAAACAGCCTTTCACATTGTTTGTCAATGTGTTCACAGGTTTGTTTGGATTAGACTCAAGCTGCTGGGAGAGTGTGGCAAAGTGGTAGACCACAAAAGCTATGAGTCTGTCACAATAACACTGTCCATCATGCCAACAATAAAAATTAAAAAAAGAGCACTGCGGCAAATTCAACAGCTATATGACTCAACTACTAAGTAAATAAATACAACTGATCTACAAGGTGGTATACAATAAGTGAAAAAATAAAACAAAAACATTTAGTGAAAAAAATGAAGTCAACTTTGAAACTAATCACCTCACAAACCAAATATAAATTCGATGAAATTCTTATTATTATTTTTACCTGGTGTACCAAAGGTAATGTTACTTTAGATCCAAGGTAAAATTATAACAATATTATGAATTCGTTTTCTTTACTGCCAGGTGTAGCAGTTAATAGTTATTATTTTTTTCTTTTAAAAGAAAGTTTAAAATGGAAGAAAGGTAGTAATTATTTATTTTAAGTATTTTACACATTTTTACTAACTCCCTGGAAACTTTTGGATGCCCTCCGAGAAAAAACTTACATCTTATGAGATGGTCCAATCATCAAACAATATTTTGACATCTCCGTCAAGCATGGATATGGTATTTATGAACACTTTGGCTGTGTATGGTGGGACACTGTCGTGCTGCAAAGTTACTTTCGGCGTCTTATAGCTCAAGCGGTCCCGGACTGTTTCACCTGGTTTCAGCATGAGCATTGTCTTCTTTCCTCAGTAGTTCAGCCTAGCGGTCGATGATGTTTGTCCAGGATCAACCCATGATTTCTTGAGTTTTATGTTCTCGAAATATAATAATTTTTCGTCTCCAGGCAGGTTCCAATGCAAAATAAAGTCTTTCTTTTATGGCAATAAAGCAAAACTTCGCACACCTGCTTTCACTTTTTCATCAGTCTGTCGTTCAACTGATGTGATACCAGTTTTCCTGTTTTCTGGATCTTTTCCATGGCATCAAAATGATTTACAAATGGTGCAGCGACTAACATTTAACCTCTCTGCCATTTGTTGATGGAATTGCATAGCCTCATTATCTTACGATGCTTGGAAATTCAGCATCTTAAAAATATTTCGGTTGACCTGAGTGTTATTGTCTTTCAAGTCAGAATCATCACTTTTAAATTGTTTAAACCAATGCACACAAGCATATTGTGTTAGGACATAGTCACTTTAAGTTTCTAAAAGTATATGATGGCTTTCCCTCGCTTTTTTCATTTGTTTCAACAAGAAGATAAGCAGCATATGCTCTTAATTTCGCTTGAAACTAGACATATTTACCATGTGAAGAAAATATAAGGCTAATAGAAAATTGTATGAAAGGTACTTTCATAACAACAAAAAAACTTATAAGGTCAAACTGTGAACCAATCCTTGATTCCAGCACCATCTTTTTAAAAAATTAAGAATTATTAAACTCTACACTTGGTAAATAGACATATAATGAAATTTTAGGATATATTGCTATAATATACTTCAATTTTGGACTAATGAATTGTGCCTAGTAAATACTGAAATATACATGTTTATAATAAACATGATTTATTTTAATGTACACTATTTAGTTGCCAATTAGATGAAATAAATTTCTTGACTAATATCAAGACAAATTATTTAAACGATTCAAATTTCTCATTTAAAGAGAGCAAAAACTAAAATAAATAATACTTACTTGCTGTTTACTGGTGACTCAGATGTCACAGAAATGTCATTAGTAGACAGTCGGTCACCAGAATCCAGCTTCAGCATCGGTGCTCTCAGTATCCTATCATTTCGCTTCTGACGGCGTAATACTCTCGGTTTCAACCTAAGTGGAGATTTCTTAATTCCCCTTAAAGCCTTAGGATCTCTGTAAGACAACAATACATAGAAAAAATTTGAATGAAATTCTTAAAACTAGTTATAAATTTATTTATTAGAGTATAGAACACAATGTTGAAATAAATAAAAACTACTTTTGTATTAATAATAATAAATAGTTAATAGTAAATAAATCGTAATAATAAAAGGATAATTAGTAAAAAGTTTATTGAGGGGTACGATAAGTAAAGAAAAGAAACATTAATTAACTCATTTTAATGTATGCCAACATTTTGGTAAAAGTTTTAGGCTTCCTCAGGGCAACAGGTGTACAAAGATTTCAGAAATCACTTTTTTCTTCTGACTTTATCAGTAACAATTGTGTCAAAAGAATTTTAATAACAAAGTTAAGGTAAATCTAAAAACCATAGAATGGACAATTGGCTTAGCTACACTTCTACAGCTAATTACAAGACAAGTTTTAAAGAACAATTTTACACATAATTCACTCTCTTCAGTCAACGTGTAATATATAAGAATCAATTCTTAGTTTTCTAAAACCACATTAGTGTCAAGATTGGATGATAGGTAAGTCAACAACTCTTTGATTACTTAGTACACAAAATTAAGAAACCAGTATAGTGAGTCTGTAAGAATATGGAGATAACTGATTTGTTAATAGTTCTTAGTATAAATTGTGGGTGAATGATTGAAAAAGATCGGTAATCCGTAAAAAGACGCTGATTCGTTCTGTCCTTACATATGGAGTGGAAACGTGGAGCTTCTCCAACACAGATGAAAGCAAGCTGTTGATCTTTTAAAGAAAAATACTATGTTGCATTTATGGACTATTATCCTCAGGTAACGATTGGAGTAATACAGAACTGGCCGCCATACATAATGATACGGATATAGTCTGGTTTATTAGAATACAGCGTTTAAAATGGGCGGGTCATGTAGCCAGGTTGGATGAGAATAGCCCAACCACCAAAATTATGCTGATGCGTACGAAAGAAAAAGAAGAGTTGGAAAACCTTGATTGTGCTGCATGGAAGGGGTCGATGGGGATGGTAGAGCTCTTCTTGTTTATTCCCAAAAAATCACTAGGTACATTTTTGAACCAGGTGAACTTTTAAGGACGTTTTTGATTATTTTGACTTTATTTATTCATAAAAAACACACAGCAAGTCCATTAAAATGACACAAACTGTTTAATATATCAAAGATAGAAACAACTATACAATTTTTTTTATTTCACACAAAGAAAAATAAACTAAATTCTCAGTAGTTTAAGATTATAAAATATCATATGATGACTTTTTAAAATATATATACCTAGTTTTAAATAATCAAATATTATTTAATTCAAACAAAACAGCTTGTACCAAATATTAAATAGAACGGTAATACCACAAGACTGTCAGATCTGAATGATGGATGAACGCAGATCACACCGATCTGCCTCGTTCCAAAACTCCTTCATAGCTCGCTCTGTTAAATTTTGGAATTCCCTTCCTATCAAAATTCAGCATTCTTCATCCCTGTCTACATTCAAAACCCTCCTATTTCAATTCCTGTCCCAAAAACAGTCAGATACCCGCTAACCGTGTATGAAAAACTACATATTATTCATAATAATGTATTTTAATATAGCTCATCACTGAAATACTTATTAGCAGATTTGACTTTTTTTTTATTTTTTTAAAAGTATATATTTATATTTTAGTTTTAAGTGTCTTGGCAAGGTTCAAGAGTTTTGTATATAGATTTTTTTATTTTATTTTGTATACATTATGTAAAACTAATATTTTCTTTACTGATTTATCTTTACTTTTACTTTTTATGTTTGTTTTTATTTGGCCAGATACAACATTTTAATTTTGTAATTTTTTTGTTATTCTGAAGGGACTTCGTCCCAGAATAAAATTATTTTCTATTCTATTCTATTCTATATGGATTGTAAAAACAAGCTAAGTATGTACAAAAGTTTACTTAAGCGATTGATACTTCTTAATAAATAAACATAAAGTATAAACAACAGTGCAAACCATATTGTACATAATATTAAGAATATTTAAAAACATTGCATGCTGAATATTGAAATAAACACACAATATTCTATCTTTCTAAAAGAATATAATTACTTTTTTGTTATGAAACAAAATAACCATAAATAAAACTGACAAAATCATTAAAACAAAAGACAAGTAACGATGCGACTCAATAATGCAACAACAAATATCAATAAACAGAATCGGCAAAAGCAATCAATGTTTATTGACTTTTAGAAAATAGCAAAGTCAACAAATATGTTTAACTTTACGAAATTATTAAACTGCAATCTATCAAAATGTTTAAGTCAAATGCATTTGTGTATGGGTGGAAGGAACAAATAGGCACAGCCCATTTCAATATGGGAGTTAGACGGAGACTTCCACAGTCTAAATCTGGGGGGACTCCAAGATGAAAATATAACAAGAAAAGAGTTTAATTTATTGTTGTATAAAAAAAAAAATAAAAAAAAAAAAACGGAATCCCGTATAGTCATAAAAGACGAGGAAAAAAAAAAAAAAAGTCATGTATCATATGTTGAAACAACATTCAATTATTGCACGATGTTACATCAGAATAAAATATAATGTGAAGTTAATCACAATTAATATGTTTATATTTTTATGGCAAGAAATGTCCCTCATATTATTAAAAATTACATTAAACATCATTAAGTACTCAAGATTAAATTTATGATTTTATGTGGTATTGCATCACTATGATGGATGGTAAATCAGATAATCACGCTATTAACGGACTCCCATGAAGGGGCTAGTGAGTCAAAATTTAGACCAAGATAAATGAACAAACTGTAAGTCCCAGGTCTTTATCGAAAAGCCCCTGTTGGAGTTTGTTAATTTTTTTTCAAGTCAGCGGAATTGAAACTTAAAGAGTTGTAATTAACACTTAAATTTAAACAGAAAAAGAACAGGTAGGAGTTTTTGGAAGTCTTAAATCACAATCTAAATAAAGGGAGGTTATACAATGAACATTTTAATACTTAAAATTCTTTTAACAGTGTGACCATGAGATCATAGCATACTCATCAAAATTGAAAAATACACTTGTAAAGCAGGGCTTATATATAGATTCGAGGACTATTGATGCAGAGGAAATCTAGATTTTAAATTGGTACCACTGTACAAGTGTTACTCCAATTTGACAAGGGGGCCAAGATCACATAACCACGCTATAAATGTAATGCTGAGGATTGACTCTCCTTTCACAATATAACCTCCCTTTAGTTAGATTTTGATTCATACCTTCAGCAAACTCATAGCTGGTTCTTTACAGTTAAAATAGGGTAACTTATGTCTAATTTGGGAGAAACCACTATTGTCGAGATTCCATATATGGTGTGATTGTGTGATCTTGTGCCACCTATCAAAGTGATGTGAGACTTCTACATTAGTACCTCTAAATTTTAAAAGTGAAGAGCGATACAAACTTTATTCACAAGTCTAAAGTGAGAAGAGGATGAAAGAAAAATAAATTCAAGGACTCTCAGTAGAAATATCTTCATGTAGAAATAAAACAAACACAAGCGAAACTTCAACGCATTCTAGTTAGATTAAAATTTTTATATTCCAAAACTATCAATAAAAAATGACTTACTCTTTATTATCATTTTTGTCACAATCACAGTTCCCTTGCAAACAAACAGACTTCAATGAAAGACTTTCTAGGATACATTCTGGTTGATTCTCACTCTGAGGAACAGAAAATGGATTGTTGGTTTTAAACTTTGAGCAGTCTGATCTGGAATGTTCCAAGGAATAAAATTAAATTTAAAAACAAACAAGAAAAATGATGAAATAACTAAGCATAGTTAACGGATAATTTAAAAATGACTATAAAATAAATAAATACATATGTATATATACCTTTCTGGAGTAATCTCCAATCTTTGTAGACTAGCAGGCAAATTTAAATCTTCAGACATTTTTACACTGAAACAGTGGCAGGACAAACTTGAAAAAAAAAGTTTATAATCTAATAAAATATTTATTCCTCTAAACAGTAGAACACCTTGGACGGATTAAAAGTATAAATGTTACTTTAAAGGACAAATATGACCTTGTGTTAATATTGGACGTATATGCGTAATAAATACGTTCAAAAAATGATACACTAAAAATATGAAACATATATTAATTTTTTATATAATATTCCTACCTTTAAAAGTAACACGAAAGAAGAATCTTACAATGGGCATTAATACCATCATAAATTAACATCACCAATGATCGAAAACAAAACTGCAGAAATTTTAACTGACTAGACAAAACAAAGCAACCTACCCAGTGTAGCCATGTAAATATGCTCGTAACTGAAAAAAGAAAAAAAAAAACTTCAAAATTATATTGAACTTTGTTCGTTTTTTAATTTTTTTTTTAAAAGTTAACGTTAATGAATTAACAAAATCAGATATTAGTAAATGAAAATATATGATGTTACAAATGTACGTCTCATTACCCAAATCAATTATTGACCAAAACACTAGCTCAATTTTATTTGTTTTTTTACTAAATAAAATATATTTCTAATTATATTTATATTTATTTATAAAATTATATATACAATGAGGATATTTACAAATAATTTTTACAAGTACATTTATAAAATACATAATAACCTATATTGATTTTTCGATACATTTTCTTTCGAGATACCCAGCAGTCGAATTTAGAAACCACGTTCTGCAAGACCTTGAAGAACAATCTAATTCAGTTGACTTATCGGAACTGATATCAGGAGGTTATAAAAGTGTCTTCTTAACTCTTCGTGTTGTTACTGTTTGTCAACATAATGATAAACCGCATCAGGAACACTATCAAGGTATTTTTTATTCTATTTAATAACGTATTTATTGTTACTGTTTTATTAACGTACAGATCACTTTAACATCTCCAGATTTACCAAATAATTGGTGACTTCACTGAAGTATTCCTCTTTCCACGACTTACTAATAAAAACAATGCCAGGTTGCTGCATCTGGTAAGAACGGAGCGAATCCATTTTAAGAGTATCAGGAATCAAGTAAGAATTTTAACTGAATTTAAAATTTCTACTTATCACCTACTCAAATTTGAACAGTAAATATGATTAATAAAAAAATAAAATTAAACAGACCTGACTCTATTTCAGACGTTTTCCACAACAGGTCGAATAGTTACTGGATTATGGACAATAATAAACAAACATATCCTAGTAGTCACTATACCTTTATTTTAAAAATATAAATTCGTTAGAATTATACAATGTAGATAGATGCTCTATTAATCTTAACTTTCTCTAATTAATTGAGGATTTCAGAATATAGTATTAATGACTTGTAATTTTAAAGAAAATAATAACATTAAAATTTATGCAGTTAACATAACGAAAAGATAACATTTGTAAAAATCACTTGTCATTAAATAGAAACTTATTTGCTCCACATATGATACCTGACTAGTATGGATTTCATAAAGATAAATCATGTTTGCAATTTATAATATAAAATATTTCTTGCAGGGTCTCAAGAATCTTGCTTCCAGAAAATTCTCCTCATTCGACACTGTGGAAGCATTGGAAAATTCAGGTTTTCCATATGAAACGCATAATGTTGTAACTGAGGATGGGTACATTTTAACCTTGCACAGAATACTTGGCAGCAATGGATACGACAAATTAACGGGAATCGCTGAAGAGAACAGGATACCTGTCTTTTTGCAACATGGTCTTTGGTCGTCATCCGGAGATTGGGTTGTGAGTGGGACATCGCACAGTTTAGCCTTTCTCCTTTCTAAAAATGGTTACGATGTTTGGTTAGGCAACGCAAGGGGCAATCTATATTCCAGAAGACATAAATGGCTTTGTCCGATCAAAGACAGTAAAGACTTCTGGAACTTCAGTTGGCATGAAATGGGTTATATGGACCTACCGGCCATGATTGATTTCGTGCTTAAAGTTACAGAAAAAAAACAATTATTTTATGTTGGACATTCACTTGGTACAACCATGTGTTTTGTATTGTTGTCGACAAAGCCTGAGTACAACGATAAAATTAAAGCAGTATTTGCTCTCGCTCCAGTTGCTTACCTCAATAATTTGAGAAGTGAAGTGCTTCGCCATTTGGCCAGAGTATCGGATAGACTGTATGACGTGTTAGAAATGACGGGATATCATTCATTTATGCCAAAAAACGGGTTAGTCTCTGTTGTAGACGGTTTATTATCACGGAATACCAGTACATTGATGAACAATGCCCCTTTAATATTAAGCAATTTGTCCGGTTATGCGAGCGAGGATGTTAAGAAGAATCTTAAGGAAGTGATCATCGCTCATATCGCAGCTGGAACTAGCACGAAAGTTCTCGCACATTTCGCCCAGTCTCTTCGTACCGAAAAATCTTTCCGCCAATTCGATTTCGGCGTCGAAAAAAACATCGTTGCATACGGGCAAAAGGAACCTCCCTGTTACCAACTAAGTAACATAAGAATTCCCATCGTCCTCTTCTACAGTAAAGAAGATTGGTTGTCAACCATGGAGGATGTAGAAGCATTGGCTGATGTATTAGAAAATAGTATTAAGGGCAATTTAATTAGAAAAAAAATAGAATTGAATAATTTTAATCATCTCGACTTTATTTGGGGTAGCGTTGCTAGACAGAATATTTTTAATGATATATTGACTTACATGAAAACTTTTTGACCGTTACACGTAATATTAAATGTTAACGAGTACTATGGAAAATAAAACTTTTAATGGACTAACGAAGAATAAAATGCACAAACCTAACTCGAGTTTTGAGTTTTACTGTACCGTACGTCCCGTTTATACAATAATTTGTATTGTAATTGCCTTTTCGAGTTCTTCAATCGAACTTCCAAGTCTGTCACAGATACAGTTTTTAGCCATGTCATGTTCAGATATTAGATGATCTATCAATTTGAAACCTTGTCATTCATATGTTCATGGTTATCAGATACACTATTTTTTTATAAAGATAAAGATGAATTAATACCATTCATAAATTGGGACAGCTGTCACAGCCATCTTGACTCATAACTTCTTACACCATCCTGGTGTAAAGGTTAGTTCCTTCAATATCCATTCTCTTTTACAATCATTTATTTATTAAAAACTGTATATTTAATGAAAGCAATACAAATTATTTAATGTCCGTGATTATTTATTTTTTTCAAATATTGATTTCAACACTTCATCAGGTATAAAACTCACGTTCGAGCATAGTTATAGCCCTGATGCCGTGGCAAAAAAAGGTGCCATATTTCATAGTAAGGTCCTTATAAATTGACCATATCCACAGGCCTGAAGAGAAAAATGCACGTCTGCCAGCATATAGCCGCTGGAATTCAAAATGGCGGTCATGTGACCCTACATAGATTTTAAGCGTGTATATAGAGAGAGCTTATAGATACATAAAGCAACCAATCCTTTCAATTTATGGTATTTACAGTCTTACAACATGACAATACTAGTCAGTTAACCCATATCCATGAATTTCAAGTCGAAAAATTGAATTTACGATTCAAAAAGTTTACTATTTTCGTTTATATCAGTGAAACTATGCGTTGTATCTGTAATAAGGTGATATGTGTAATTAAAGCTGACAAAATTTTCAATAGAAATTATTATATTAAATTTTTCGCTATATTCTATAGTTTCCGTGATATCCCTCGTTATTCACTAATTTCGATAACCAATTTTGGCATCGCATTTTTATCATTATTTTAATCGCCAACTGTTTATCTTTTCATTTTACGAAAAAGTCATAAGGAAGTAAGTTGTTTAATATTAAGTTTTCTTTAAAAATATATACTACTTTACTATCTCGTCTTCAACCATTCAAAGACTAGAGCAATTATAATTTAATGATTAAACTACGAAATTATACAGAATAACTTACTTTTCGCAATTTTCGTTATTACATAGCTCTTAATCTGTATACATATGTATATTATGCAAATCAAAGTATACACATGGATGTTGTCTCATATACAGATTAAGAGCTATGTAATATCGAAAATTGCGAAAAAGTAAGTTATTCTGTATAGTTTCGGAGTTTAGTCATTAACTTATAATTGCTCTAGTCTTTAAATGGTTGAAGACGAGATAGTAAAGTAATATATATTCTTAAAGAAAATTTAATATTAAACAACTTACTTCCTTATGACTTTTTCGTAAAATGAAAAGATAAACAGTTGGCGATTCAAATAATGATAAAAATGCGATGCAAATAGTTGTTTTTTTCCCCGAAATTAATGTATTACGGGAACTATAGAATACAGCGAAACAACTAATATAACCATTTCTATTACAAATTTTGTCAGCTTTAATTTCACACATTAAATTATTCTGGAAAGAGCGTATAGTTTCACTGATATAAGCGAAAAACAGAAAAAAGCAAACTTTTTTAATCGTAAACTCAATTGTTCGACTTAAAATCCAAGGGTATGGAATAACTATTATTTCATGTCTTAATTCTGTAAATAATATAAATTGAAAGGGTTGGTAATTTTATCTATCTTCACATGGCCGCCATTTTGTATTCCTGCGGCTACATGCTGTCAGACGTACAGTTTTCTCATATGGATATGATCAATTTATAAGGACAAAGCTTAGTAAGAAATATATGACACCTTTTTTTAAAACGAGCTCCAGGACTATTAAGTTGACAGATTTTAAACACATTTGAGGTGGGTAGTGTACGAAGAAAGCGTATACTCACGTACGCCCTCTGGATTGTGACATAATAAACTATTAGCCTATGGTCTGGACTTCTAAGGCTTATCCAATTATTTACACTCTGCTGAAACTTCGTGAATCTTTTATCGTGACCACAACTTTTTAATTTACGAAAATTCTCGCAATGGGGCGTTTTCTATCTGAAGATGTGTAAACTTTGTTAATTTAATCAGGTAGTAAAAATTGCTTTCCACTAGAATCTTACTATAATTTGATCACAAATTTCTAAAAAAAAAAGTGGCCTACAAAAATATTAGACGTTTGGTCTATGAAATATCTTTATTTTGACATGGTATTGGTGGCCACGCCAACCGACCAAATATTTTTAATATCTACGTAAAAAATTTGTGGATTACGATAAAATGAATTTACGAAATTTTAGCCCAGTGTTAATCATTCGATAAAATGGGTCTTTTATGATAACTATATCGTAAAAACTGTAGAGAGAACATACTCCAGTTCGTCTCTAATGTTGACCAATTGAAGTATGGTTCCTCGAGTTTTTTTTTACACCTATGAGGTTACAGGAAACGTACTTACAGTGCGTCTTCTTAGTCGTTTAATAGGTTTTTTACGTTTACTATTTTCATTGTATTCAATTTTATCTGATACTAAATTCAAAATTTGTTGCAAATATTCAGTTAAATGGTGAAATTATGTGAATACGATACGATCTTTTCTATAATACTGATTTCGCAAATGATTTGTTTCGCAGTCTTGGTTGCTACAGAATCTAATCTAGCTTTAAAGTTAAAATTCATAGAAATCCTTACATACCAACAAGATGGCTATTTCTAAAACTCATAATATTGAGTATATTGCAATTGTGTAGTCCGTGGTACAGAACCCCTTTTATCAAATTATTAACATCCGGCTGAAACTTCGTTAATAGCTTCATCTTATCGTAACTTACAACTATTTTATTTACGAAAATTCTCGGAATTGGGATGTTTTCAATCTGGAGGGAGGCAAACTTTATATATTTAATTAGGTACTAAAAACTCGTAAATACTCATTTGTTTTCCACCTGAATCATGAGATAGTTCGATCACAAAATCGTTAAAAAAAAAGGTGGCCTATATAACCTCGTTGTTTTGACAATTTGGAAGTGTAGATCACGCCTAGTGGCTCAATATTTTTGAAGGCCACTTTTTTTGTTCGACTTTGTATTCAAGTTATCTTACGATCCAAGTGGAAAGGAAATGTGTATTTACGAGTTTTTAGTACCTCATTAAATAGACAAAATTTGCCGATCTCCAGATTGAAAACGTCCCAATTCCGAGAATTTTCGTAAATAAAATATTTCTAGGTTATGATGAAATGAAGCAATTTACGAAGTTTCAGCCGGATGTTAATAATTTGATAAAAAGGGGTCTGTACCACGGAGTAGCGCTAAGGAGGATTGGAGATGCATTGTTGAGCATGCAACACAAGAACTGTAGATGCAAGGAAGAAGTAAAAACAGTGCAAGAGAAAAAAAAGTAAAATACACTATAATATTAAAGATTCAATCGAATTCCAACATTAAAGTCACTTACTGCAGAATTATTGAGACCAGTAATAAAAGAAAAACAGTCAATTTGAATGGTATTTTTTCAAGTAAAAGGCTTGATATAATTATAAACTAGTTTAGCTTTTTACAGTAGCTTACAGATTGAAAATATTCTATTTTTGTATAATTTATAACTTTGTATTTTTTTTATGTATAGATAGACTATTATTATTATAAACTTATTAATTATGTCTTTCTTATTTAAATAAAGCACTGCAAAGGAGAGAGAGGGTTTCGAGTTGAAACACCACCAAAATGGAAAAATAATTCATCACTTGCACTCGCTTACCCGCTGCTCCTAACTAATTAGTCCTAAATTACTAATAATAATTTAAAAATTGAAAGATAAAATATGGATGACATTGGTAACATCAGAGGATTTTACTAACATAAAGTTGTTCACGCATAAAAACTAGAAGCTTATCAGTAAACCAATTAGAATTTAAGCTGCTGGCTCATGTAAACTAGGCTTAAATTGTTAGACATTTACTTCTGTGAAGTTTTCTAAAAAAATATATTTTAATCCTTTGTTTTTATATGTAAAAATAAAGCATGTTTACGGATTTGTTTGTTTCTTTCAATATCTTTAAGTTCCCTGACTGTATCCAACAAGTTATCAACCTCTTGTATCATGTGTACAAATGTAGATATTTCATTCATGGATCTTAGACGAAGTAAAGGTTAACCAATCAAAACGCATTAAAAGCAAAGATCCAGTCAATGAATGATAATAGAAGGAAATGGAAGGAATGTTGAGAAATAAAAAAAAGTGTAACTATGTGTACCCAAACATTTTTGTTGTATTACCAAGTCAGTATGCTTTCGCATTATCAATAAAACAACACAACGGTAAGTTCTGCTCTCTAATACGTCTAAATTATTCTCGTCACCTATTTCCATTTGAAACCCGTAGGCTCCTAGTCACTTCGTTAATATTTCCCCACTTTGACTATTGCTGTACGGTATATGGGGGCGTCTCTGGGGATCTCGAGGTGAAACTAAAACGTTTGATAAATTGCTTTGTAAGATTCATCTTCGGGATACCAAGGGACGCCTCTGTTTCCCATTTTTATGCAGAGTTGAAGTGGCTTTATTCTTCCTACCTTTCGTAAATATTTCCTGGCATCCATCCTTCTTCTTTCAAGTCATCCAATCCCACCGTCCTTCATACATCTCCGAGCTCCTTCAATTCGAATCCTCTGTTCGTTCCCCGTCTTCTGACTTATACATAAGGGCCCACCGAACCGCTGCTTTCGACAGATCTTTCATTATCCGATCCTCATCCCTTTGGAACTCCTTCTCTTCTCGCATTCGTCAATCTAATACCCTTTCTACCTTTAAATCCCGCCTGCTCAATCATTTCTTATCCATCTAGTCCCCATGAAATTGTAAATAGATACTTCTGTTCATTTTTCCTACTTTTGGTGGCTTGAAGTTTTTTTATTTGTTACAATAAATTAGGCCATTTTTCACCAACAGTTTATTATGATGCATCAATTTAACGTTTCGACCATACTAAGGGTCATTTTCAAAACTTGATGAGTCCTCCTAATATGTTCATCCTTAATGTTCTAATTAATATGTTCAGTGAACATTAACTTGTCAATTTTTATAGGGGCTTCGCCCACGTCATTTCTGGAGGGACTGACTTATATCGTCCTGGTGGGGATAGTCGACTATTTATGTATCTCTGAGGCTCCTTCGCCCATATTTATGTCTTTCTGTATTATTCTTAAGGGACTCTTCCCAGAATAAATAAAGTATTATTATTATTATTATTAATATCGTTAAATATACATTCACATTACCATGGGATAAATAGTTTTGAAAGCTCCCCCTTCCCACATTTAATTTATGGCATCCATATATTTTGACTACTCTTATTCCCACACACATTTTGGCTCTCGTACCCCAATTATTAGAATACCTATGAGTTTTGATAAGTAATTACAATAGGAGTACCCATCGTACCAAGGTTAATGGCGCATAGCCTCCGTTCAAAGAAAATTGATTGCTCTCTTCTTTAAAAAGTGCAAACTAACGTAAAATTTAAAAAAAATATTTCAGTTTGTTTTCTGTTCAATCTTCTTCTTATTCATCTTCCTGCTCTGTGCCTTTCAGCGTGGAGGTGCCTCAGTCCATGTAACCAGGCATCGCGTCTTTATGGCATTTAACCCTTCCCCTTTTTTTCTGCCCTATTCTGGCGATGTGAGGTCATCCGTGGTTCTTGCTCCATCGACCATGAGGGGATGGGCACCCCTGCATACAAGCACAAGGAAATAGTATTTTAAACAATGGCATTGGCTTGATTCGGTGGATTTTAAATACTTTTTTACTTTACTTTGAATAAAATATATAAGTTTATATTTAATAAGAAAATTTCATTCAGCCCGAAAGCCTTCATTCCCTTCCCTCCCCCCATAGATCTGCTTGTATATTATACAACAGCACAGGCGGTTTTAGGGGGGGGGGCTTTCGGGCTTAAACCTCCCCCCCCCAAAATGTTTAAATGTAACCATGTTTTATGGTAAAAAATTATGCCTTAAAGTATTATTGCTCGTTAAATTACATTTAATAGGACTTCAAGAATTACTTAAACACCATTTCATATAGATAGTTCGTATCTTTCTGTTTTTCCAAAGTAATTATCGTTATATATATGAAAAAAAAACTTCCGGGCTGAAGCCCCCCCCCCAAAATTAAATCTTGGATCCACTAGGGTACAACAGTAACAGTTTTTTACCTGAGAGGTATTGGGATGGATTTTAAATTAAAGAGTTACTAAACTCTTTAATATTTTAATACACTTTTAACAATTAAATTTATTGATATCAAATTTATTAACCTTTTAAATTTCTAAGTATGAAGGGGGGGAGGGAGAGAAGAGAAAGTCTTTAACACCTCCTCATCTTCCCTCATAGTGACGTCCTTATTGACATACACTAAATATATTGTATAGACTTGTAATTTTCTTATGCCCTTCATGTCTTTTATCTCTGCTTTTTTTTTTCAATAACAGCTCTATAATTTTGGAAAACAATAATAAGTTCTATAATAACAGGATAATAAAAATCACTTTTATTGGCTCCATATTAAGGACTTGTTAATTGAATTTTTAATTAGGTTATTTTTTTTCGCTAAATATATTTTACGTTCTCTAGATGGGGTAGTTGAAGAATTGCGAAGTTAATATATTTTTTTTTAATAAATTGATTTTTTAATATTATTTCTCTATTGTTAAGTTTATTTTATTTTTTTAAATAATACATTAACATAGTGATGGGGCAACATTGTCTATAGCTACTAATTAAGGATAGAGTTAATAGTTAATAGTTAATATAATTAGTGCCATTGTAAATTTCGGAATTGTTATTACTAATTGAAGATTTTATTATCTTTTTTACGCACGGAAGAATTTATAACAAAGTAAACAATATTGTAATATTACATTTCAGGTACTGCATTAAAAAGTTGTTTTAAGTTTCTATGTTGCATTAAAAATTCTGTTAATTTACAAAACAAGCAATTTAATTAGTAAAAATTTCTAAATTGTATTGGTGTATAATTGTAGATAATTGAGTAGTTTTTGAATAAGTATTTTGTAAAAAAAAACATTATTTTATAGTTATTGACTTTCTGTGAAGTAATAGTTATGCCCTTGTAGTTTTATAGCGTAAATAAAAATATATTCAATTCAATTACTATTAGGAATATTAGAACACTGATATAATTCGACATTGTGTGAGGCATACAAATCGTTTTTAAAATACTTATTACTCATTTCATTTAGTTTATATCATCTTTAAAAGTTTCAAGAACCGTTATAGTTTCATAATAGAAATTATCTTCGAAACTGTAAACCTGTCTGGTAGAAGATAACCGTATTTAAGTTAAGCCCTACTCAGTTTTCCAATTGGTCTTGTATTCGCGTTAAAGGGATCGTTATTAGGAATTCGTTCTTAGTGGCAATTCGATGCATATTTAATAAATTACTTCGATTCAAACGTACAGTGATTATAAACTAAGGCAATTTAAAATTTAAAATAGGTGAAGTGGAAAATTAATCATAATAAGTAACCTTATTAAGAAGAAGGAGGCTATGGCTGGATAGGAGATTCAAGATGGTGGTGTTTTTCCAAATTAGAACATTCCTTTAAGGTTCCAATAGTGTTTGTTTCGATAGACTGTTTACATGTTTCTTTATTTTAATAGAAAGTTTAGGGACAGCTAAGGCAGCAGATTACTGTTAGGATTGTTATAATATGTTGGTACAAGAACCTGTTCAAGTAATAACACTTATATTTTGTTATACTAAGTTTATTCTAACTGTTCTTTACTTTAATTTTTGAACCCTTTCCATATCCGTCCCGTTATGTTATTTTGTTCATTTGTGATAACCTTATATGCTTTGATTAGTTCTTATAAGTAGTCTGTTGGTTTATAGTTATTGATTTTAATTTCACCCATCTGTCATAAGATTTTTTTTAAAAATAAATATTTAGCTTCATTTTTATTCATTGGATGCTATAAGTTCTTGATGTTTACTTACCTGATACCTTATCTAATTATAGAATTTCACTACTTAAGGCTATAATTTAGATTGTTAATTGTTAACCTAAACTGTCAAATTATCATCAACCTTTTTCTATTTTTTTTTTCATATTTCATTTATGACTGAACAATTAATTCATTAATTAAGAAGTTTTATTTAATCATAACAATGTGAATTTAGATGTTTATATAATATTAGCATATAATATGTTTGTGTTTTGAAACTTTATTGTTTTTCCATTTATACATATGAGATAATTGTTTTTTATCCATGCAGGCTGCAATTTGGCATTGTTTGAACCACTATGCATACAATGATGCAATTTTCCTCGCTGAACGGTTGCGAGCTGAAGGTAAACCAGTGTATTATTTATAACTAGCTAATGTTATCTTTAAAAATAAATCTCTTATTTTCATCATATAAAATTTTACAGTCGAATCAGATGAAACAATTTGGCTACTTGCAACTTGTTATTACCGCAGCGGAAAACCAGCTCAGGCATATGCTATTCTTAAGAACTCTACCTCCCCCCAGTGTAAATTCCTTATGGCGAAATGCTGTCTTGATTTACAAAAGTAAGTGTGTGTTTTATTTATAAGTCTTACCTAATCTTTTCATTGTTAATACTGAAGTTAAGTTATCTGTACTGTTCCTGGTGTTTAGTTGTGGTTTTCTTAATTGATTCCCAATCACCAACTTATTTTTTTTATTTGTTAAAATTTGATTTTTCTTACATATTGATCAGTGATGTATATTTTGATTTTAAAAGTTTTTAACTTATTATATTTTTTTTTTTTTGCATCGTGATTAATTTAGCATACAATTAATTTGATCTTTATATATATTAAGCATATTTTTAATGTTGCTTCTTGTTAAAAATTACAATTCTGTTACTTATTTCATTAAGAGAAAGTACTAAGCTGATTACAGTACTTTTTATCATTATTCTGTTATGTAATTTTTTTTCTCACAAATTCTGCTTTTGTACGCTTTATTGATGAAAAGATGTTTCTTATTTCTTCCTCGTTTCATTGTTAGCTTTATCTTATGAAATAACAAATTGGTGATTTAAGTTGAAATGTTATAGTTTTAAGTTGTTATTTTTGTTCATTTCACACTAAAAACAATCATTCTCAAATTATCATGAGTGTGCCAAGATCTCATGATTATGTTGTGTTGTGCCAGATAAAATCTCTGTCATGATCTATTCATCTATTCTAAAACAACTTTAACCGTGATCATCTTTTTTTTTTTAGCATTTGAATTAGATGGAATATTAAAGTCAAGGAAGAGGAATGCCTATAGTTTTATAATTTATATAATTTGTTATAAAAAGTATTCAACCATTTAATGAAAAATGATAATAGTGATAATGTGTAACCAAAGAGTGATAATTGATAATATGCAATCAAATAGTGAAGAATGATAATAATGAGAAAATATTAAGGCCATAAATACGCAAAACAGACTAAATATTTTTTTTATTTTGCTATAAATGAATGTTGTTTTTATTTAAATTTTTCATATTAATGATTTTGTTATTAATTTAAAAGTCATTTTAACTTCTAATTGCAACATAGACTTGTATATTTTTGCAATTGACCAAAATATACATTTTAAAATGCCCTTCTGTGAAACTTAATTGTTTAAAATGTATAGAATAGAACCTATCTAAATTTTTAGATGTCAGAGGCACATTTCACAGGAAATTGGTTAATTGTTTTATCATGCTAATAAAAATGTTATCTATTTTAACATGCAAAGCACAATAAAATTTTCCTTTTCTGTAGTAAAAATATTTTTATCACCTATGTCGAGCAACCGGACATAATATTTTAGTTTAAAAGAAAAGAGAGACTTAGCTTTTGGCATGATTTTAATCGTATCTGAAGACGAGTCTATTTGTGTTTCCTGCTCTTGGCCATTTTCTCTGAAGTACTGCTGTTGTGGGTTTCTATTCAAAATGAAGGAGTTGTCGGTACTTTGAAATCTACATACATTATTGGGCAATTTACTATTAACTATTAATAGTCTGTGGTACAGACCCCTTTTTATCACATTATTAACGTCCGTTTGAAACTTCATAAATAGCTTCATCTCATCGTAACCTAGAAATATTTTATTTAAAAAAATTCTGGGAATTGGAGCTTTTTAAATGTGGAGGTTGACAAACTTTGTCTATTTAATTAGGTACTAAAAACTGATAAATACCAATTTTTTTTCCACTTGAATCGTAAGATAGAGCACAAAGTTGGGTAAAAAGGTGGTCTACAAAAATATTGCGCCATTTTGTCCTATATAACCTTGTTATTTTTGACAATTTGGGGGTGTAGGTCGTCATACCAAACAGCTCAATATTTTTGAAGGCCATCTTTTTACCTGACTTTGTGCTCGTTATCTTACGATTCAAGTGGAAAGCAAACGGGTATTTATGAGTTTTTAGTACCTAATTAAATGGACAAAGTTTGTCAACCTCCAGATTTAAAATGCCCCAATTCCGAGAATTTTTGTAAATAAAATATTTGGAGGTCACGATGAGATGAAAATATTTACGAAGTTTCAGCCTGATGTTAATAATGTGATAAAAAGGGGTCTGTACCATGGACTATTAATAGTTGGTATAAGTTAGGTTAGAAATATGATAATAACATGATAATTTCATCGGGTCAAACATTAATTGACCTTAATATTAACATCAAATTTAATTAAAAATTTAACTCAATTATTTGAATTATGTAATAGAAGTTAAGCCTAAATGTGAACAATAATATCTAATGTTGACAAATAAAAAGTACATTTGTATACAAATCAAGGCCTTAGTTATGGCAGTTGGAAAATTTAGAAGCCTTGATAATATAGAATGATGAGAATACGATACATATCTCGACAGATAGCTAGTGATATTTACTATATAACTGAAGATTAATATTGCCATTTTTTTTTTTTTGTTGCCAGAGAAGAGGGTTAGGAGGTATTAATACTAGAATTAAAAGCCTCTGGTACCAGAATTTGAACTCATAGCTTTCAGTATATCAGAAGATTGCCGGGCAATGCGTGTTTACACACATGTTAGCCCGCACGGCCACCCCACTCCCATTTAACATGGCCATCGACTGTTAGCTTAAGCTAAAAACCTATCCCATGGGTTCTTCAACACTCTCTTTGCGCATATGATTTCATGGTAGTACTCTTCAAGCAATTTAAAAATTAAATATGAAATTCAAAAGAAATCAATAAGAAAAGAACGAGTTGGCCAATTTATGAATTGAGTGGCTTAATATCAAAGAGGGACATCTGTTATTTATAAATTGGTGAGAAACAACCAATTTTCATAACAAAGTTTCCATTTAAACCAATTCTAATGATTTTTTTTTTTCATGATTCAACTTGGACGTTCATAAATACAACATTAGAAGTAGTTTGAGTTGAACCTATAAAACAAAAAAATGACCTTTTCTCTACTTTCAAAAATGACAAATGTCCGTGGCAATAAGCCACTCGATGAAACAGACTGTTTAAAATATATAATATACATTTGAACTGATGACATCTGTTACTCTCTGTTGAGAACTATGTCCGCCACAGACCGGGGATTAAAATGAATAGAGAAACAAAATCCAATGCTTGATTGAACTTCCGCTAAGAGATTTTTTGGATAGAAATTATCGGGATCAAGTGATATTTTTACTTAATATTATGAAATAATTACTGCTATGGCTAATTTTAACTAAATGTTCAATTAATTAATTTAATATTGGAAATTTACTTAATTAATGAAATTTATTTTTTTTTACTCTATTTAAAAAAAAAAAAAAATAAATGTGCATAACGTATCATAGTTACAGAGTGGCTTTTAACATGTCTTGTACTAATGTGTGGTTTAATTTTTAAGGTTGTCGGAAGCGGAAAAAGTATTGACTGGAGATGATTTGGGGAGGAGTCGAAGTTTAGACGACGTTGTAAAAGAGTTTGGAGATGTTGCTGCGTTCGCTCTTATGCTCATCGCTACGGTTTGCTTCTCTACCGAGAGGCTTACAAGAGGGATTGAAGCATCACGAAAGGTAGAAACTTATTTTACTATTATATTTAAATTCATTTTGTTGTGCATTCTCTTGATTTAAGCGATATAGGCAGTCCTTGTACTCGATATATATCAGGTTCCATTTTCTATCTCCTTTCATTCAAAACCTGTCAACTCCTGGTTTTCTCTCTTGTTTTCCATCACTTTGACTATGGTTGTCGCACTCTTCGGAGAGAAATCGAAGCCTAACTAACATAACATCCCTCTTATATTTTAAAATAATAATAATAATATAACCTCAAAAGATCACTTTATAGCCTTAGGATACTTCCAAAAGAAATAAGAGGTTGTTAAATAAAAAACAAAATTATAAGAGTATTATCATATTTATTTATCTCTGGTGTGGGTTGCTGTTATGTCGAATTCAGGAAATATTCAAATTGTAATTGAAAAAAAAAGTAGTACTCTTCTCTTTTAATATTTCTATTTGATGTTTATATTTTTACAACAATTGATTTCATTATCATTCATTTAACAATATTCTATATCGATCTCATGTGTTAAATCAGGGATGATCGATAGATACAACAGTTACTGACAATCAGATCAACTCAGACAAACTATTATTATTTACACTATTTATATTAAAATTAAACATTGATTTTAAAATAAAGTCAAGTATGCATTGGCAAGCTAACCTTTTTTATATATACACTGTTTCTTCCTATGTTGCACTAAATTCATTTGTCTTCAAATGCTTTCCAATGTTCTGCCAAACACATCTTCCAAAATGGTGACACTATTCTAGGTTTTACCCACTGGAGCCAGGATAGGATATCTTCTCTTCACCTCTCTTGACAACCTCTCTTCACTGCAGTCACACACCAACTGTTTGCTGAAACCAAAAGCTTTTTCCCTCTCCTCTCTGGGATTTTCCATCTTCGGAAACTACAGAGCAGCCATTTTCTTTTCCCGGCACTAGTAGAACTAGATTAGCTTGCCTTTTTATTGTTCAACATTGATTTATTAAAACCTTTTAGAGATACGTTATAACCCAATATTACACAGAGTTGAAGTGGCTCTATCCAACTTACTGTCATCATTATTTCCTTGCTATTTTTCTATACCAAGCTATTAGAACTCAGCGATCCTCCTATATCACTCAAAAATGAGACAACATTTACAGGATAAAGCCTGAAAGTCGGCTGATAGAGCTTTTTTTTTTTTCGGATACAAAACAGGGCTGTAGTATAGTGCTGATCGTCTTCAAGATTTATCTTAGTGAGTCTGTCAAGGAATGGTATCATTGATGTGAAAATGTGGGGCCATCGATTGAGGATGAACAGCCAGTGGATGTGTTGAAGTATCTGGAATCTTACCTTGACTTCTCGGGATTCTCTGATTTTGACGTGCAGAAAAAAGTGGAGCAAGATCGAAAATCCACACGGTTGATTCATCCTGTCTTGTGGGACGACAAATTTGTAAAAGAAAACAAACGAAGGATATACCTTGTCATCGTGGAACCCATCCTAATGTATGCAGCTGAAACATAGACCAGGTCATCTCAAGGTACAAACTGTGAAAATTGACTTTTGGAGGAGATTCCTACGTGTGGTAAGGAGGAATATAATTAGGAACAAGGTCATTAGGGACAGGATGGAAGCTTTTATGCCTGTCAACCAGCGAATTGGACGGCAAAAGCTGTTGTGATATGAAAAAGGTGGCTCCCAGAAAAAGATGGATGCCTGAAGTGGAAGAAGAGATGGCTGGCCGGTGTTCAGGATAGAGATTGACTTGACCGCTACCTCCGGAGCTCAGCCCTGATGTGAAAAGACAATCCTTTGTTGTAATGCCTAAATAAAAATTAAAAGAAAACTGACATTTTCAAATCAAGAAACTAATTTTCTCTATTGCGTCAAAATCTGTAAAACACAATCTGTCCAATCTGGATCCATTGGCCTATCAACTTCACAATTTTTAAACCTCCTTTTAAAGTTTAAAATTAGGCTTCATCACATCTCACTTCAATTCACCCCATGACATTTCCTATTATTTGAAATCTCATCAAAATCTACCGTTCCTCAGATTCAGCAAAGAGATCTATACTAGAGTATTGTATAAAATTTAGATATTTTTATTTACTCCATCTTATTAACAACATCTTCCGCCAATCCTTCCATATATGATACATATAATCAATTCATGGCTAAAACATTTTTTTTATTTGCAGGCATTGAGACTGAACCCGTTCCTATGGAGTATGTACGAAGAGTTGTGCCGGAGGGGTGATCGACCTGACCCCGACAAGTGCTTCTCCACTCCGTCTCTCGACTCCCTTCACCACGTCACTGGGTCTAACCCCTTCATCTCCTACGCTAACCAGCAAGAACAGCCGGCGAACCAAGTCCTGGAGCCCTCTCTCAAGAACATTAGGTATTTTATAATAATAATAATAATAAAATAAAAAAAATGCTCTAAAATAACCTAAAAATCGTATGCACTCCAAAGGTTAAAAAAAAACTTTGGTCCAGGAGAGAAACCTTAATCTGGCAACTCTCTCTAATACTTAATATACAGTAATAGAAAATATTGTCGAAAGACTTTTCATCTGAAATATTTATTCAAAAAAATGCACATCACTTAGATTGTATTAAAGAAATTTTATGGTTCACTTATAATTAAAATATACTATTGTAAAAAGAAATAATCAGTGAATTTTGATTTGGAATTTCGGAAGATTGCCTTAGTATATATAATCGATTTGGAGGAGCATTTTGGACAAATTGTTTTTCATTCAGAGTTGTTTCAGATCAAGTTTGCACTTCTGTTTACTTGAAACTTCTCTTTGTGTACCTGGTTCATATTATTTTATTTAAATCATATTTTACCATAATTATAAACAAAACAAGTAAATATTATTAACATAAATCAGTAAATGATGTATTTTTTCTCTATATTTTAATTTATTTTATTACTTTTTTTTTCTTACTTGTTGAACCATTTTATTGTTTTTCGTTTCAGTACACCAATGCAGATCGTTAACATGTCTGCACTGTGTATGTCGGGAGTTCGAGCACTCAGTCCCGATGTGACACCACTCGCTCCCACTAGAATTAAACGCACACTACGTTGTAATCCTGTATTTACCAACAATTATTCTCCTATCACTCCAAGGTTTGTTATTTGTTTCTTTGTCAGGACCATTTTTATATTGTTACATCAATGTGTTACTATTATATTAGTACCTATCTATTTTAAATTCATATTTCAATTTTTTTCCTTTTTTGTTTTACAGTTTTGGAGTAATTCCTTTAGCTTTAGATTATTTAAGCGACTGTGACTCGATTTCTTCTCCGATAAACACACTCACAGAGGCGAATGACCAGAAAGTACTGGCAAAGAGGGTATGTATACATATTTCCTTTTTAAATTATTTTTGTCTCGGTGATTAGTAGTTGTAGATCAATATTACATTAATCTATTATTTAATATTAGGGTATGATTGAGGCGAATATCGCCTTGACTAATCTCATTATTAGTGTAGTTTCTAGTTGACAGGTGGGTCAAGAGCACATCGATCAGATTGTACAATGATTCCTGAAAGTGGCTGTTATTTGTTCCTAAAGTATTCTACAGTCAAGATATTGCCCTGATATAGGCTGGATAGGATAGATTAGGGATTTGTTTGGGTATAGAGTAGGAAGGCATGGTGCTGCTATGCATTTGGGTCTGGTAATTTTGGGATTATTATTTATTGAATACTTAATAATTGACCATTGTATTTTAGAGAAAGGAGATGGTTCGGGCTGTCATAAATAGACTAAAATAGTGGCAAAAATATTTTATTTTAAGCCAACATTTCGACCTGACTTTGCAGGTCTTCTTCAGGCCTAAAACGGACAAGATACAAAAGGATATAGAAAATTGTGGAAGTTACATAATATTTAGATAAAGATTATAAACAATATGAATAAATTTATTTAAATTGTAAATAGTAAATACATTAAAATATTAAGAAAATTAAACTATATAAACAGAGTAACCAAAGTAACAAGATCCTAAACTGTCATTGAAACATGAGAGCTCTACAGCAGTCACTGCGAAAAAATTTATTCGAGGAATGGGCCAACTAAAGGTGGCAGGGCATTAGTGTTCGCCATTTTAAAGAGGCCCCGAAAGCGAATAAATACATCGATGAAAAGCAAATACTTTCTGGGTCTGAATGGTCGAATGTTCTGAAACTAAACATTAATTATGCACCCCTGCGTGGAGTCCCAGGTGTCAGCGGAGAGGTCAGAGAAGTTGGGTTCCCCTGTCATAAATGCGGGAGAGAGTCTGAAACACTAGTCTATATGTTGGGAAAATGCTCCAACAACTCCCTTATAACACGTCGGCACCATAGGGTCAAGTTCGAGTTGATGAGACTCCTTAGAGAAAAGGAATTCACCTGCTTTGATGAAATCAATTGCATCGACAGCGAAGGCTCTACAAGATATGCGAATATTGTCACATTTCCCAAGGCAGGAAGGACAGCGCTGATCTTGGATCCAACTGTCCGCTTTGAGAGCAATGACCTCGGTCAGGCGGGTGAAGTGGAAAGGGAAAAGAAGAACACATATGATAAATGTTTTCCTTTTCTAAAAGAGAGAGCTTCGGAGAGAGAGAGAGTTCACCATGAGAGGCCTCTGATTTGGGCCTCGCTGAATGATTCTAAAAAGAACAAGGAGCTTCCTCGAGGAACTAGGCGTTGACATTAAGGACGTAGTGAGGTTGCCTGAAATTATAGTCCTCGGCTCCCTAGGAATCATTTACCACCATATGCATGGGTAGGATGAGAATTTTAATTTATTTATTTATTGAAAAAGTTTTATTGTATTAAATTGTAAATACACTTTTGTTTTTGTTATTATTTATATTGATTGAATAATTTTAAGAATTTTAGAGAGATAAAGAGAGAGAAGGGAGAGAAAACGATCTTAAATTATATCATGTTATAATAAATTTGGTTATGCCCACAGCTTTTGCGTAAGGAAAGTAGTCCCCTTCAACAGACGAAGGCTGCTAATACTCCGTTAACTGGCGTGGTGGCACCACCTTCACTTCACGTTCAGCCGAACGTTAGGCGATCATCTCGCTTATTTACAAGTTCCTATAATGTAAAGGTAACTATCTTAAATTTTACCTATTTTGATTTGGAATATATGGTACTGTTAATTAATTTTTTGTAACTATAGATTTATTCTTACCATATTCTGGGTATAAAATTAAGTCCCTATGTATTTAATGTATCGAAGAGAAATGCTGAATAAATGGAAACTTGCATGGGAAAAAGAAAAAAAAAATCATCTAAATTTTAACTGTATTAAAATACAAGTTATAACAAACATATATAAAATTGAGATCAGTCCTTGACTGATAGCAGTCCCTATAGTATGAATACATGTGAAATAATACCTTAAGCTGTCTTCAATAAGCTTTTTATGTAAAACAAAAAATAATATTTTAAATTGAACTGGAAGTTCCAGAAATTAGTTCATACGAGCTCTTGAGCTTGTTTATTAGTATAGATAAGATTTTCATCTCTATTAAAACCTTTATCTGACTAAATTAATCATTTATTTGTTTTTTATTAAAGGAAAATACTAAATCACCGTCTCGGAAGTTCGCTACTCCTAAATCACCCTCAAGAAAGACTAAGTCTCGTTTAGTAAAGCAAGCTCTCGCTAAGAACTTTGAAAATAATGAAAAGAACAGGTCGGAGAGCCCTGTCGGCCAGGTCATAGGATCGGGAAGGACCACTTCAGAATATGCCCTCAACCTTCAGCGGGACTCTTTAGGTAAGTTTCTTATTTATAAAATAATTCAAGAGTTCTAACACTCGGCGCCGTTGCACGCATTGGTGAGGCAAGGTTAAGCCAGGAGTGTCTGCGGCATTTAATTTCAATATTTAATATAGGTAAAAGGTCAACATTATCAATTTGGTGAATAAACATTCTAAAAATTCATTTAATAACATAATCACCTTTTTAAAAAACAATTCTCAAAAATGTCTCAAATGATTTTGATTAAACTCTTTTTATCAGTTTATAATCAAATGGTCTTTATCATTAGCCTTATTAAAATAGTTTCAACACCTGATTTTCACACCATAACATATTTTCAGTTTTGTTTATTTGAAATTATTAATAGTCACTTATTATTATTAATAATTATGATGATAAGTGAATTAATATAAACTATGAAAGAGCTTTATGATCATTTAAAGGAGGAAAAATAATTAATTTAATCTATCATGTAGTCAATTTCTACTCTAATATCACTAATTAATATTAAATATAATTTTTATTTGAAATAGAATGGTTAGTACAAGTTTTGTTAATTTTTTATATACTAATATATTTAATAGTTTTTATTTATCCATATTATTGAATAATAAATAGACAAAAACGAAATAGTTCAGTACCTTTTCTTTCTCTGTTTCTCAACCGATTTTATTTTTTTGTTAATTACTTTTGTAGTTATTGAAAAACATTAGTGCTACCAATAAAAAAAAAAATTGAAAACAGTGTTTATAAATAAAAATATTAATGTTAGTTTGTTTAAAACTGTTAATCCCCGAAAGTTTTTCACTGATGGTTTTGAAATTTTAGTACAACGTTGCAATCAAATTTCATTTCGAAATGGCAAACGAAAAACGTGTGTTGCTTTAGACTAAAGCACCAAAACGACTTTAATGAAGCCTGGTTTGTCTTCTGCTTGAAGCTCTTTTAATTTATGTACACAAAAAAAATCTTCCAAAAGTGGCTTCAAAAAAGTAACGATGGATTCAAAATTTTATATGTTGAATAACTGAAAAAGTACTTAAACGGTACGGAACTATTTTGTATTGTAAGTACACCTTAAAGTATATGTACGAATGTAGGAAAATAATTTGGAAACATGCATGTTCATAAATGTTTTAGCATTATTAATTATGTTAATTTTTTTGTTTAAAATTATAGAAGGCCTGTTAAAGCTGCTGAGGGATATAGGAACTGGCTTCTTGTACCTCTCGCAGTACGAGTGCCAGAAAGCCATCGATGCTCTTCGTAAACTGCCAGAGCACCATTACAATACGGGTTGGGTACTCTGTTTAGTTGGCAGGGCCTATTTTGAAATTAACAAGTACGATGAAACACAAAGGTATGACCATCACTTTTACCTCATTTTCCTGTAACACATTATATCAATTAATAATTACTTATTATGGAAGATTAACTTTAGAAAATAAGTTGAGCCTGAATTCAGCTAATACCAAAGTAATTCTAATGATTCAAGTTCAACTTTTCTAATTCCCATTCAAACTCTACAAATTTTTTTTACAAAAAATTGTTTATATCAAATTTATTTTGTATATGTAACATTTGTTGTTTAAGTAAAGAATATTTTGGTGTTGTATAATAGGATATTTGAGAGGGTTCGTAAACTAGAGCCAGAAAGGACAACTGCGATGGAAATTCACTCGACAGCTCTGTGGCACCTTCAGAAGGAGGCTGCACTTTCGCAGTTGGCTGCGGACCTGGTCGCGCTGGACAAGCATTGTCCTCAGACCTGGTGCGCAGTTGGTAATTGTCATTCTCTCCAGAAGGAGCACGATCTTGCTATCAAGTTCTTCCAGAGGGCTGTGCAGGTTAGCATTTTTTTTTTCGTTTTTTGGATTGGTCAAATATTAAATATATAATGATCTTGAACAAATCATCTCCTTGTACAACCTTTGACCAAGAAACGGTGCTTTCCGTAAATAGAACTGAACCCAAGACCCTTCATGGGTTGTAGTGGTACATTTTTTTTTTTTCGTTCGTTAACCGTCTCAATTCTTAAATATTTTGTGGAAAGATGGCGAACCTTATAGTGAAATATTTTCTCAAAAAAATCTGGTGTGTCCACTCACACGACTGTTCTACCTATTTCAGAAAAGTTTTTATATCTTTACATATGTCCCTCAAGAAACAAAAAAAAATTTAATTAGATTTATTTTCCTGAAAATTGATCAAAGAAAAGATTTGAGTACGATTTATTTGATAAACCAAAGTAATGTAAACCGCCTTAAGGTAGATCAGTGTAAAGATTTCAATACCCTCTAATATTGCTGATCAAAAACTTTTTACCATAGCCTAATTTGCTCAAACAATAATTTCTGTTAAAAGTAGGGGAACTAGTGAAGCTTGTGGAAAACAGATTTTCTTACTTTCACTTATTTTTTCTCTCATTCACCAATTTCTGACACCAGGATATGAATCCGTGATCTTACATTGAAAATTGAATAGTTTTGTAGGGAATTTCATTATCTTTCAAAAAAACAGGCTAAACAGTGTGTTTTAAACATAGAATATGTACTTAGCGAGTTAGGTCCCAAACCAATTTTCTTTTTTTCCTGAATTTTCTCGGGAATTTAGTACATATAAGAAAATTTGAAGGACAGAGAGAGAGAAACACTTTATTTTCATAAAATATAAAATATAAAGGATTGCTGCCCAATTCCATTGGGTTGCTATACACACAGCATACTCTTCTATCCTTAAGACAATATATGAACTTATATATAAATATACAGAAGTATTAGTTAATATTAGTAAAACAGAAATATATATATATATACATTTTTATTATTTTATTTATCTTTATAATTTTTTTTTTTTTTTTCCTTTTTCCTTCTTCTCATTGTTCATGCTTTTTTTTTTTTTTTTTATTTAACATTAAGTTTCCCTTTCTCTCACTTCTCTCTCTTTATCGCTATTGTTTTCAATTATTCACTAAATAAATAAATAAACAAATACATAAATTAAAACTCTCGGGCTAGCCATGCACGTGGTGGTGAATGATTCCCAGGGAGTCGAGGACTATATTTTCAGCCAACCTCGCTACGTCCTTAATGTCGACACCTAGTTCCTCGAGGAAGCTCCTTGTTCTTTTTGGGATAGTTCCGCGAGACCCAAACCAGAGGCCTCTCACGGTGAACTCTCTCTCTCCGAAGGTCTCACGGAATTTCTCTTTTAGGAAAGGGATACATTTATCGTACGTGTTCTTCTTTTCCCTTTCCACTTCACCCGCCTGATCGAGGTCATTGCTCTCAAAGCGGACAGTTGGATCCAAGATCAGCGCTGTCCTTCCTGTCTTGGGAAATGCGACGATATCAGCGTATCTCGTAGAGCCCTCACTATCGATGCAATATACCTCGTCAAAGCAGGTGAATTTTTTTTCCCTAAGGAGCCTCATCAATTCGAACTTGACCCGGTGGTGACGACGTGTTATGAGGAGGGAGTTGTTGGGGCATTTTCCCAGCACATGTGCTGGTGTTTCAGACTCTCTGCCGCATTTACGGCAGAGGGACCCAACTTCTCTGACCTGTCCGCTGACTCCTGGGACTCCACGCAGGGGTGCATAATTAATGTTTAGTTTTAGGGCATTCGACCATTCAGACCCAGAAAGTACTTGCTTTTCGTAGATGTATCTATTCGCTTTCGGGGTCTCTTTAAAATGGCGAACACCAATACCCTGCCACCTGCAGTTGGCCCATTCCTCAAATGCATTTTCTCGTAGCGACTGCCGTAGAGCTTTCACATTTCGATGACCCTGATCAACCCCCAATCTCTCGGCACATTCAGCAATTTCAGCCGAATAATCGAAGGTAGACTGAAAAAGGGCATCTGGTACATTGGACAGTCGCTGAGCAATGGACCAATGTTGAAGAGGAGCCTCCCATTGGCAGCGGATTAATCCCAATCCTCGGTATCTCCTGGGGGCATACAACATCGCTGTGGAAGTATTCGCAGGGAGTCCAATAATGGCCTTTACGCTCCTGCGAATCATAGTGTCGATGCCCTCCAGTATAGCAGGACGTAGCTTTGTTAGGGGCGCAGTTTGGAGAGGGTAAGTAAGACCCGGGAACAGATATTGATTGACAATGTTGAGTTTCTGCTCAGGTTTAAGTAAGCAAGAGGTTACCAGCTTGTTTAGATTATCATTCAATTTAGTCACCGAATCTTCGTTGAATTGCAGCTCTCCCGAGAATGTACATCCTAAATACTTAATCGTATCTCCATTCTTCAATGTTTGGATGTACTCACCATTCTCAAGGGAGAGCACCGTAGTTTCCAGCTCTCCTTTATTTATAACGATGCCCATACTTTTTAGAGGATTTATAGCCAGACCAATTTCTTTAAATGTTCTTTGTATGCTGTCAATCACTCTTTCTGCAGCCCCCTTGTCACGCGCCGACACTGCCTGGTCATCCGCGAAACCTGTGAGGACCACACAATCTTGCTCATTCCTTAATTTGTATCCAAATTTCTTGGAAAAGTCCTCGTCACACAGGTCGCGGTAGAGATGATCGATGGCCAGGTTGAAGAGTGAAGACGACAGGGGGCCACCTTGGGGTACACCGCGCAGCACTTTGATCTGGCTAGTTGCATGGACACCGTTGCCAATCTTTATGGTGTTCGTGCTAAGGAGAGCTGATATGACATTTGTAAGATTCGGTGACACACCTCTCGCTTCTAAGGAGCTTACGATGTGTTTGTGCCCAACATTGTCAAAAGCACCGACAACGTCGAGGAAAACTATCGCACAGTCATTTTTCATTTTTTGTGCATCTTTTAATACCGCGTCGATGATCCTCGCGTTGACGTGCGTTCCCGGGAGGCCTTTTATAAAGCCTCTCTGACTCTTGTGGAAGGTGACCTGCTTTCTTAACTCGTAGTCCAGAACCTTCTCTATGATTCGGCGCACAATCGAGTATATGGTGATCGGTCTCCAGGTAGAGATATTGTTTATATCACCTTTGCCCTTATATATCAATATTGTGCGCCCTTGTCGAAGTGGTTCCGGAACATAGGCCACCTTCAGCATTATCTCTGCAATCGTTTTAATAATGCTTGATACGTCAAAATATTTTATTGTGCGGATCAGAACTCCATCAGGCCCCGGCGATGTGTCCATTGATGTTGATTTAATGGCTTTCCTGATAGCTTCTATCTCAATGGACAGCAAATCCGGCATCGGGGCACACTGTTCGTAATCCGCACGCCCGCAGAGATTTTCGTTCTCAAAGAGGTCTTTATAATGCCTCTCGATTTCGGCCATTTTTAGAGGACACCGTTTAGGAGCGTCGGCATTCATTACAGTTTGCACAACCTTTTTTCTTTTATTATAATAATTATATTGGGCAACCTCGTACTGATACTGCTCTTGCCGACGACTCCTGTCTACTTTGTTTGCCCTCTGCGGATTTGAGACTTGTCCAGCACCCTTGTCAGCCATTTTCATTTTATTTTTTTTCCTCATCCTATAAAATTTTACGGCTGGGTGCTGGGGACCTGGCAGTTCCGCATTAATGACTTTGAGGAACTTTAGGAACTTGCCTACGGCCTCATCAAAATCCGCAGTATTCACCATTTCTTGCTTTAAAAGGTTCTTGAACGTAGTAGACCATTCAACAATGTCCTCTTTTATTTTTGATGACTCACCCTCTCCATTTCTAGGACCTATCACGTTCTTTACTATGCCCCTCAATGTATTATTATTCGCCTCCCTGGGATGTTTTTTTGCAATGTGGGTTCCGAGACCTCGTTCGCCCTTAAAAGAAAGCCCGCATATCGGACAAACTTTATCATCAGGGCGTAGAGCTTCATTTTGCCGCTCACTAAGTACCTCTGCGACATTCAGCGGATCATTTGGCAATCTGGGAAAGACATCATCTATCGACACCGTCTTTCCCAATACCACACCTTCTGTGTCAGGCCATTCCACTTTAACAAATTTATTATCTCCGCCTCCTGCAGTAGCCACAGACATCACAGAGGCAACAACCGCCTCTTGAACAGGTCCTCCAGTTCTCAGAACCCATACCTTTTGTCCAACTTCGATCTTCTTCGTTGGTATTTTGTTCATTGCAATATTTTTTTTTTCGTTCTAGACTATGCCCACCACGCGCATGATTGAAACAATCTGTGCATAATTAAATAAATAAATAAATACAAAGTTAAAAACTATAAAATTAAGTGTTAAATAGTGTTATAGTTAAAATATAAAATCGATAAAAGCTTAAAAAAAAAAATATACATCTATCAAATAAATTGCTTATAAATAAGTTACAATATAAAATCAGTAAAAAGTTTAAAGTTAAAATTTAAGTACAAGTTAAAAATAAGTGAAAGTTAAAATCTAAAAAAGTTAAAATCTAAGAAAGTTAAAAAGTTAAAATCTAAAAAAAAGTTAAAAAGTCAAAGTCTAAAAAGGTTAAAATCTAAAAAGGTTAAAATCTATAAAATAATTTCCTAAAATGAGTTAAAATGTAAAATCAATTAACTGTTAAAAAGTTAGAATCTAAAAGAATAAATAAATAAAACAATAAAAATAGTAATTGCCTAAATCAGTTAAAAATCAAAAGATAAAAATTTAAGTAGTTATAATCTAAAAAAAGGCAATATACATCCACCTATCCACATCACATTATCAAACCTAATATATAAAATAAATTACAAAATATAGGATCATTAAATACTTTTAAAAAAAAGAAAAAATTCAGTTCAGCAATAGTAAAAAAAAAGTCCACTTTAAAAATTTGATTTAAAACGTTCTATTAATAATAAATTATGATAGTAAAAACTTATTTTTTTCTTTTTATATTTTTGAGAGAAAGGGATCGAATATAAAAGTTACTTAAGTGTCAAATTAGTTGGGCTCCGTCGATGATTGTATTGATGAGACGACACTGACCTTGCTGAGCGGTGGAGGGGGCCGACAGGTTCCAGGCTGCAGAGTGATAATGCTCCGGTCCCACAAGTATTATCACTTTCGTTGCCTTCTTATTCTGGCTAATATCCTAGCTCAATTTTCATAAGATCTCATATGCAGGTCTTTAACATACAGCTCCGTCTAGGTGTGAAATTGCAGCTCAATTGGATGAAGAATACCCAATAATAGACGATGATGACGTGGAGCCGATCCTTTCTTTCTCACCGGCTCGAGCCGAACTCCAAACATCTAGAACATTATAGGAAGTTTCATCAAAATCATTAGAGCCGTTTTCGCGCTACAGTCTATAGAAGAACATGTTTTTCATTTATTGCACATGGAACACCCAATTAGTGTCACAGGCATCGTTAGTCAAAACCCTACAAGATAAAAAAAAGAAGTTACAAATCGGTTCTCTAGTTCCCGAGAAAATCTTGCTACTGATAGACCAATGGCTAAAAATGTGTTTTTCGGACTCAGGAGGCTCTGAAATGTATAGATCCATCGAAAATCGCGTATCGGGAATTTGATCTAATCTCAATACTTTCCTTACCTAGTATAGGTAGGAAAGTAAAAATAATTTATTATGATCTTTTCTACTGTAATTTTATGTAATTAATATAAGTTTTTTTTTTTTAATGATTGTAGGTAGATCCAAATTTTGCTTATGCTTACACACTCCTCGGCCATGAATATGTGGTCACCGAGGAACTTGAAAAGGGAATGAGCAGTTATAGGACAGCGATTCGTCTTGACCCACGCCATTATATTGCATGGTTTGTATAATTTTTTTAAATTAATTAATTAATTTTGTTTTTGTTGCAAATTTTTAAGTACTGATAAAAATCCTGAAAGTACTGCTTTTCACATCATATGCAGATGTGACAGGTTTATAAGGCTGAGACTGGTGGTATTTGGGGAGGAACAGATGGATCTCCCCAGAAGATTTGAGTCGGTCAATCCAACCAGCCTACTTAGATACGCGGAAGCGACAGGACTAACGTTTTAAACAAAACTACTTAGTGAATATTGGCACACAATGGACCCAAAGGGGTCGACGTGCTTAAAGCCAACATTAAAAAAAAAAAAAAAAAAAAAGTACTGATAATTGCATGTTGTTTTCTTTTATAGGTATGGGATGGGTATGATATATTCCAAGCAGGAAAAATTCCAGTTAGCAGAATTTCATTATCAGCGAGCTCTGAGTATTAATCCAAGAAGTTGTGTGCTGATGGTACATATTGGTGTGGTAAGGTCATTTTCTCTTTTATTTGTATATATATATATTGTTATAGAATTGTGCAATCCAACTATATTTGGTTGCTACAGACACAGCATACTTATGAATCTGTTTAGAAAATACTTTAAAACTTATATTTATAAAATAGATAGGCTCATCTAACATCATCATTATGAATAAATCTCTGATTAGATTTTTTTTTTTTTGCCATTACAAACCATGTAGATCTTTTGCCGCCTTAACATACTATCTTTGCCTGTCTTGGGCCATTTCTTTCCATTTATCTGCAAGCATTTCTGTTGCATCTTTATTGATTCTATCTATCCATCTGCTTTTTGGCCTTCCACGTGGTCTTTTGTCTTCTATTGAGGCATTCATTGTTACCTAGAGGCTTCCAGATGGATTGCTACGAGCTACATGCCCCGCCCATCTTAACCTCCGTACCTTCATATCATGGGATATTGATTGACCAGTTTCTGTAAGCAGTTCCTTGTTGGTCTTTCTTCTCCATGTGTTAGTACCCTGATCCCAGATCGCTCCGTTTATCGTGCGGAGGATTTTTCTCTCAAATCTTTCAACACTTTTTTCTAGAGTGCTGGTCTCATAGCCATATATTAGAACTGGCTTTATCATAGCATTGTACTTCCTTAGTTTGAGATTATTCGGGGTTTGAATACCTTAGAGAGAGAGAGAGAAGAAATCTCTGTTTGCTTTAAGAAACAGAAAGCTTCGTTTAGATTATTGGTGCGAAATTTGCTATCTCAGGTCTGCATTTATGTGAGATTGTTTTCTTTTGGCTCGACGATGCCTGGATTGGCAAGCTGTGCGTTGGAAAGCTTTGCATTAATACAGTAATTGAAAAATAATAAATGTTTGTCCTTTAAATTGAACATTTCTGGTTTGTTTTAAACTTTAGGCATCAAGTAACAAATAGGCAGATTTAAAAAAAAAAAAACTATCAAAGCTTTCTTGTTAGAACTACATTTTTATATTGTTCCTACTCATTTTGTTTTTATACTTCTTTTTCTATTATCTACGTTGTAGTTAGTGTCTATTATAGTTAAAACAGGAGTATACTTTTAACTAAAAATATAATGGTTGCTATTGTCCCATTGAATAATAATTCAAAGATTTATCCCGTATCGGGTGTCAGCTCTGATAATCACAGCTTAGATTTTTATGAAATTGTGTATTTTGTTTGCGTGTAGTTTTTAAACTGCTGATCAAATATCACTACAAATCGGAGCACCCAGATGAAAATAGTCAAATTTTGTATGGCATATTTGATTATGAATGGATTTAATTGCATCTCTTAAGTATATGAAATTAAAAAAAAATATATAATACTTAGAAATAATAAATTAAAATACAACATATGAATATTTTACAGTTGTCATTTATTTTATTTAACAGGTGCAGCTACAGTTGATGAAGAAAGATGAAGCATTGGAGACGTTGGACAAGGCAATAGCCCTGGAGCCTAACAATCCATTATGCAAGTTCCATCGTGCGTCTGCGTTAGCAGCGGCCAATAGGAATGCCGAGGCTCTCACAGAACTCGATGAACTGAAGGAACTAGTCCCTAAAGAATCCTTGGTTTTTTATCTCGCTGGCAAGGTAAGTTTTTTTTTTCTTAGCAGCCATATTGTTTATTAGTGTGAATACTAAATGAGTTTTTGTTTTATATTTATCTTTTATTATTGGGTGTTCATATTTTATTTTAATATTAGGAGAGAAGGAGCTAACAGGAGCTCAAGTTATTAGGCAATTATGATACAAATGTTAGGACTGTTCATTTAATTACATGTGTGTTGAGCTCCTGTTACCTACCTCCCACTCTCCTAATACAAAATAAAGATTTTAGACTAAAAATGTGTACGATAAATGGTATTCATCTGGGGTTGGTAGTTTGATTTTAGAATAGAAGAGAAAAATAATTTTATTCTGGGAAATAATAAATAACAAAAAAGTACAAAATTAAAGTATTATATCTGGCCTAAGTAAAAACAAACATAAAAAATAAAAATTAAGAAAATATTAGTTAAACATAGTATGTACAAAATAAAAAAAATCTACTTACAAAACACTTTAAATCATGCCAAGACACTTAAAACTACGTAAAGTTGTAAAACATAAGTATACACTCTAAAAAAAAATAATAATAATAAATACATTACATTCTTCTTAGCAATAAACTTTGTTTCTAAAAAAAACAACAAAAAAAAAACACAAAAGACAAAGAAAAAATACGAATCTTATAGTAAGTATTTGAGTGATGAATTATATGTAAATATATCATTATGTGAATCATTTTGAATAATATGTAAATTTACATAAAAGGTTAGCGGGCGGGGTGTGTCTGAGTGTTTCGGGGATAGAAATTGGAATATGAGTGTTTTAAATGTAGATAGAGAGGGAGAATGCTGAATGTTGATAGGAAGGGAATTCCAGAAATTAACAGAGCGAGCAATAAACGAGTTTTGGAACGAGGCAGATGTTAGAGATGTCTGTGAGAAGGAATGTTACGGTCGAAAGGTCGAGATCTTGTGAAAAGGTAGTGCACTGAGGACTTGAATTGGAGAAGGTTGTAGGCGTAAGGATGATGATTGTTGATGACTTGATAGGGGAACTTACCTAGGAAACATTGTCTTCGAATGGAGAGGAAGAGCCACTCTAACTCAGAGTAGTGGTGAGACACTTGGGAGTATTTCAGGGCACCAATTACAAATCTTACGCAGCTAATTTTACCTAGGTGACAGCAGTTATTTTTTGATCTAGAAATTTTCCATTTAATACAATATATTATATATAATATTGTTTATATTATATCATGATATAATTATAATTTTTATGAAATAGAAAAGGAAGAAGAAAATAACATATAAAGAAAATATTAGAAATAAAGGGCTCAAATTATTGTTGGGCTTTATAAAGCTGGACAAGTTGAATATATATTATGGTTACAAATTAGCTATAAGACGCGTACAAAAAAATGTATAATTGAGATTTTTAAAGAAATTAATTGTGCAAACTGTGGTTTCGCTCAGTTTATTTTATGTTGACAAGAAATAATGCAATCTGAACTACAGAACACATGTAATTAAAATTATACAATTTGAGCAACGAGTAGTGCAATTAAATTAACTGTTATGAGAAGGAGTTAGTTGAGGGTGCGGTCAAATAAATAAAAAAATTAAAAAATATAAATAATTTTAATTTTTGCCGACGTTTCGACCCACTTTGCAGGTCGTCTTCAGGGCTACAAAAGATACAAACATGTTGAAAAAATAAAAATAAAATAAAAAATAAATATAAGTATATATAAATTACGAAGAAGTTGTCAGATACAGAAATAAAAGATAAAGAAAATAAATACATGATAAGAAAATAGATAAAAGAAAATAAATACATGAATGTTAACGAATAAATGAATGTTAACGAATAAATAGATTGAAAATTGAATAACTATTGTTACAGTAAAGTTAAAATATGGATAAGATAACATAATACTAAGATATCAGTGGATAACAAGCAAGTGGAGGTTACCTTTAATTGTAAATAAACAGATAACGGGTCTAAAGGTTAAGAAGTGAAGAAATTGAAAGATTAATAGGGTAACATTAGTGTAATATTGTTGGGATGGATTATTAAGTATAAATAACTCCATAAGAAAACAATAATTTTAAAAGAATACTTTAAAATGTAAGAATAAATGTAAAAACAAGGTTATAATGATAAAGAAACAAAAAACAGGTTGTACTATATATAGATGACAATTGACATTTAGTTTTTTGAAAGAGGTAATGGAATGGTAGAGATCTTCATATGAATGAAGATAATAATAGGGTGTATAGTTGAAGGATAGGTGTGTTAAGAAAAGAATCACAATAAAAGTAAAAACATACCGTAATTTGTGGTACTGCGGGAGGCAGTTGAAACACTGGCAGTGTCAAGAAACTCTAGTTAGCAGTGTCAAAAAAAATTTCGAGTAAAAATAAACGCATATATATATATATATATATATACATATATATATAATATATATATATATATATTATATATAAAAAAAAAATATATATATATATATGTACTATTAAAAAAAAAAAAAAAAAAAAAAAAAAAAAAAAATTATATAAATAAATAAATAAATAAAAAGAATAAATAAAAATATATATATATATATATACTTATATATATGAAAGGAAAAGAAGTAAAAGAAAGTATAAATGGAAGTGAAAAGATTAGATAGAGGTTTATGATCGAGACTTTTTTAAAATGTTGATGATTTGGGAGTAGGCGAGTGATAGATTTTGCTTGTCGGTTTTTAAGTTAAGTGGTTTGTAGTCTAATTGAATGAAAACACTTTCCGTAAGTAGTCTTTTGTCGTGGTTAGGTACTGTGGCAAGAATGGAGGTATTGTCAAAGTCAAATGTGTGGTTTGAGGATAAGGCGTGTTCAGAGAGTTTAGACGCGGTAGAGTTCTTGACCGCACCCTCAACTAACTCCTTCTCATATCATATAAACGGTCAACCATCTCTACATCATTATAAATTAACTGTTGTTTAATTTGTAAAATAGGGGTCGATCCACCGTTAGGCGAACAGGGGATTATCCTACTAATATTATTTTAATTCTTCCTATAATGATTCAGTTAATTAACTTCTATGGTTAACTTAATTGTGTATTTATTAATTATAGTAATTAACTGAGGATAATAATTATGATCAAGTTAACTTATTCTAGACAAATATATAAAATAATTAACTATGTAAAGGAGGTAGGGTTTTAAGATCTTTACTAGCTTGCTCCATCATGTTTTCTAAAACTGGAGAAATAAAATATGAAATTTTTGTGGTATTATATTTTAAACATATTGAATGACTCAAAATATAGATATTTTACAATGTAATAGAATTTTTTAACTACAAATATAAATTTAAAATTTAACAATAGAAATCAGAGAAAAAAACAAGAAACATTAATTTTAACTTATAAAGTTAAACTAAGAGCCAAAATTGTATTTGATGACTTTTTGCAATAAACCGATAATATAATTGAGACTAATCTATTAGTCTGTTATTATTTTTAAATTTGTAATGTGTGATAATAAGATACCTATTTATTTTATGTTAATTAATATTACCTGTTACAGGTGCATAAGAAATTAGGTAATACTCACCTCGCACTGATGCACTTTTCATGGGCCACGGAACTAGACCCGAAGGGTGCCACCAATCAGATCAAGGAAGCCATCGAACCTGGAATGTCCTCTACGAATCCTGACCATTCGGGTAAGATTTAAATTTTATTTTCTATTTAAAAACATTATGTTCTATTCACACTGATGAATGTGATGAATGTTTTAATTTTTTTTTTTTTTTTTTAAAAGGTAGTTTTGTTCACTTTAAAATCCTAATAAGTTTTAATGAATTATTGTATATGTATTTTTCTTTTACAGATTTCTTTACCGTTTTGCTGGAAATTTAAAGTTTCATTATTGACTTTTGTAACGAAATTTCAGTGAGAGATCTTGATGAAATTATAGTGATATTAGAACATGATATAAAAATAAAAGATATTTGTACTATTATTTCATTGATTGTGTTTTAATTAGGAGTAGTGTGAATTTTTTATAGCTGTCTATGTTTGCATTGCTAATTATAAACAGTGCTATCTAACAGATTATTTTTAATTTCGGTGGGAATTGTGAACACTAATGATTAAACTCGGCAGCTATCTTGACAGTATTATTGATTTTTGTGACCCAATAGCTTGAGTCTGAACATTTCTAACCATAATAAACACATTTTACCAAGAATAGATCTATCTTCTAAGATACTCTTACAATAATATTTATTTAATCATATCTTATAATGTTATTTATGTTAAGAATGATTCTTCCAAATCCGAAAAATGTCCGGTCTCAATCTTTTCAGATAATCAGGATTCCACAGGAATATATTATGAATTTTATTTTATTATTATTATTTTTAGCTATACCTCCCCAGTATTCTACTCTTCTATTATACTTAGGTAAATGTAACGGTAATAGACATTTCAAGAGAAATTTTGGGTCTTGTGTCGAACTCGGTCGGGACGGAAACTCCCTTGTTATCTTATCTTACATCATGTAACCTCCCTTCTTATCTCATGTAAGTTCTTGTTATCCTTCTGTTACATTCTGTATAAGTAGCAGTATTTGTAGCATAAGTATAAGTATAAGAAGCATAAGTAGTCGCAGTTGTACGAAAAACGTATCTATAAATAACGTATCTATCCATTAAAAAATCAATCAATCGTCTATTGTGGTATAATATCACTTGAGGTTCTAGCTTCAAATTTACTAGTATTTGTACTCTCTTTTGGGTGTATAAAGGTTATTGTCTATCTAAGTTATAATGAGTTGAAAATTGTCTATTATACTGTAGGTAAATTTATCCTATATTTTATAAAGTCTTATAAAACAAATTAAAAATATGTATTTCCCTGTAAACTAAACAATATTTCTATTTTTTAATTATTTATTTTAATCATCAAGGTTAATATCTTCTTCTTAACTTTAGTTTGACTTATGTTCGATTTGTAGTTTAAAGCAAATTCAATATATTTATATAACATATTGGCGATTTTCTTGATTTTTCATCCTTGGTTTCCCACTTTCGTTTGGGATCTGAGTTCCACATCAAATTCTTAGAACCAAGACTTGTTTTCTATGACTATCTGTTGAAAATTAAGACCATCAAAAGAGAATTGTTGATTTTACATGCGCTTTTTGAACAAACCTGATCCATTTTTATTGAAAGATTCTGAAACTAAACCTCAAGTTTCATAATCAGCCATTAATAACTAACCGATAATCTTTATAGTTACCTTACAGTAATTTTTATAAATATTTTATACTCTAATAATCGGATTATCCTAATTGCTAATGATAACGTGCTTATTTTTTTGCCAACAGGAGCCGAGGGCGATAACACAATGGAGGAGCTGTTGCCGAGTACACCAGGGCAAGAAACACCAGGAGGAGAAGCGATGCAAGAGACTGATGAAAGCTTCTAGTAAGTGTTTTATTTATTAGATATTAGATAGAGAATTACTTGTTTTTTATTTTAATTTATAATTAAATAGAGGTCTGTGTATCGACAGCCACACTGCTAAAAAAAAAACTTTTATAGACTACTCCAAAATGGAACGCATGCACCAGATATCCCTATAGTGGGGGATAAAAGAGTGAATAACCCGTGTGATCAAATACTCACTTTCCTGTCAAATATTTTACAAATTTTCATTTGAAGTGTCGTTTCTCTACATTTTGGAAACTGACTTTTTTCCTTAACAAAGTTATAGATGTTACTACAGTAAATTTGATTGTTTTTACATAACTAATACCTGTTTTTTTAAATAACTAAAAAGCTATAAGTTCGAAGTTATAGCTCTAAATGATTATATCTCATAAATATGATCAAAAAAGTTTCATGGATCATTACACCTTTGTCTTAGGTCTTCAAAAAAAATTAAGCCGAAAATATAATGCTCATAGAACGAAAATTACACATTTTTTTTGTCTCCTGAACGTTTTTTGTTTTTACAGGCTTTTGTTAATGTGGCTGTCGTTATACTGGATTAAACATATTGAATGTATTTTATGTCCATTGAGTCAGTTGATGATATTTTGATGTTGCAGGTGATAACTGATAACTAGAACCAACAGCTGCCACCTTGAAACAGCGCCAAGGTCGTGTCGACTTTTATCTACATACGGGATTGCCTGTGTATATAAGAAAAGTTATATGTGTAAACTGTGTATAATATGTAGTCATGAAATATCATCTATTTAATGTATAATATATAATAATATACATATAGCGCGATTGATAAATATTTATATCACTGTTCATAGTTAGCAGGTAAATACTGAAGAAATAAATGAAGGGGAGTAAATAAATAGTATTAAATAACAAATATATTTATACATTTGTGATATTTTAGCGTTTGTGATAGGTAGGCGGCGCGGGACTGGCCGTCCCGTGGTCAATAAGTTCACTTCTCCCGTTACATATTCCTATCTGTGTAAATAGGTCTGAATATTTAGTAGGAAAATATGCCTATAGAAGAAGAAGCCTTTAGGATAGAGGGAGTATTTTATAATTATCATGACCCCGCGACCCAAACGGCACCACAATATCGTAACGATCTGATAAAATATACAAGCTGCAGAGTGTTCCAAGTATTTTCTAAATATATATATATATATACTTCACTGTTTATATCATATATATACACTTAACTCTACGTATGAAACATTGTTATAATTGTTTAGGAAATGTGTTGCCTTTATAAAATGCTTTTATTTATTTCTAGGAATCTTATTAAATTACTCCTATGAATTTTAGTTCATTTTACTCAAGTGAGGTGATAGCTATTTGTTTTATTGTGTATAGTCGACTGTAAATAGCAATTATTGTTCTAATTTCCTTTGTGAATATTTTTGTGTAAACTATCTTAGCTACAAAGCATATTTATATAGAATATATATATTATATTATATATTTCTTTTCTTTTTTTAATTTCTTTTCGTTATTTTAATTTAATTTAATTTTTTTTTTTTTTATACTTTTATCATTATAATTTCAAAACCAAAGTTTTCTTACTTTTATTAATTTTTAAATGTCACTTGTGCCAAACTATGAATCATTTGTGAAACAACAGGAGTTATTTTCGGAGAGAAATATCACGAAAGTTGAAATTATATTAATTTATATATTTTTGTGTCTTATTCATTTATTATAACCTCACCATTATTATATTTTGTTAATATAGTATTCAACATTAAACATTTCGTCAGTAAGCTTTCTCTCATCGGTATTGCGACCTGAAGAATATCTTAACACATAATATACTTAAACATTTCTGATGTGACACAAAATGAAATTAAAAAAATTGATTGTAAAGATGTGAAAATTTTAATGTTTAAGGGCAAATTATGTTAATAGTGGCTAAAATTTGAATTAATGTATATATTTCTTTCGTTGAGAAAAAAATGTTTTTATTTATTTCATTTTTGTTTATTGTATTAATTTTTGAAAATTACTCATGTATAATTTTTTTTTTCTTAAGTGTGGAAGGATTAGAAAGTATAAAAGAAAAGGACATATTTATTAAATTATGTTGGAAGCTGCAATATCTATAAATTATCACTTCTTATTAAGATTATTTTTTAGTATTATTATTTTAATATTGTTATAAATTATATATATAATATACATATCTTTTATCATTGACTTGCAAATGAAGAATTTTATTTTCAATTGCTCTCTGGTTTTTACCGTGGTTAGAAAATAGTTCCATATGATTTTATTTTTTATTAAATTTGTATTTTGAGAAAATAAAGTTTATTTGAAGATATATAAAATTCATTTTATCAAGTTTTAAATATAATTTTCATAACAATATTACAGTTATAACTTTTGACAGTATTAAATAATGTAATGTTTCGTAATTATAGATATTTTTTCGGATACATTGACATATACCATGCATCCTTAGTATTATTTTAAAACCTAACAGTCACAAAGGTGTCTTTTCTTGAGACCATCACTCCAATTGGAAGGATAATGTGGAACTATTGGAGTGCTGCTCCAGAGGTATCGAACTTTTTGGCCACATTGAGACCTCGACTAAATTCCACAGGCCGTATAGAGACCTCTATAAGTCATATGATAAATTAGCTTGTGATGATAAAAAGAATCTTCTGTTGTATATGACGCTTAAGTTGTGAAATGAGCTTTTTAAGGAAAACTACTCATGTAATGAATATTGTAGTAGGCTCCTGTTTAAATAATTTACTAAATTAAATCCTATATATTATTTCTAAAAGGTGTTTTTTTTGCTGGTACGCCATAACTTCTTCAATTCTTCAATGTAATCAAATCCAATGTGAATAAGCTTATTAAAATTATAAACAGTGAGTACATTAAAATATGAACAAAGTAAGCTGAGTAACAAGATCCTGAACTGAAGTAAATAGATGGTAACAATTGTTGTAGTGTAATATATAATAAATGCAAATGTGAATATACTTCTACAGATCTACAGGAGAGATTGAAAGAAAAGGAAAAAGGATATAATATGAAATAATAGACAAAGGAATGTGGAGAAAGAAAATCTAATATTAAGTAAATAAAATGGAAGACTAAAATTAGAGACTTGCAGGTGTGTTCAACTAGGAGTTTCACTTAGAACTGAAAAAACAGGGGTAAGGAAAGGTATAGGAGAAGCTGACTTATTTGGGTAATGGGAAAAAAACCTAAGACATTACAGTATCTAAAATTTGAAGATATGGATGGATACAATGAAAAAAATACTATATCTACGAAATATCAAATTACAGATACATACATAGACATATAAAATAGAATTGAGATGTTATAGATAAGAGTACAATGTGAATAAACCCAAAATTGGCAAAAGTAACATATAAATATAGAAATAACTTCATTTACATACATTGCAGAACTAACTTAAGAGTATAGCACGGGGGGGGGGAGCTTTCGGGCTGAAGCCCCCCCCCAAAATGGAAAAATATAACCATGTTTTATGGGGGAAAAAAATTAAAAAATACCTCTTAAAGTATTACTGTTCGTGCAATTACATTTAAAAGTGCTTAAGGAATAACTTAAACACCATTTCATATAGGTAATTAGTTTCTTTCTGTTTTTCCAAAGTAATTATCGTTATTTTTATGAAAAAAAAAGGTTTCGAGCTGAAGCCTCCCCCAAAATTAAATCCTGGATCCGCTAGTGAAGTATAGAGAGGGAAAAAATTAATAATTATAATTATATTTGGTTGTACATATGTAAGAAAATATATACATGCAACACTCTTGATGGAGTTCCGTCTCAACACTTTTCTTTAACGCTAATCAATTTTTCAAATATGCATTTGAAAAAGTCGGGGGCTTTTGTGTCTTTATTGCCATACCCTAATATTCATCGAAGAATATGAAAATTCGAGTACCAAATTATGAGCACTATCCTAAATTACGAATCTTCTCGTACTCTGTAGTGAACTTGTTAATCTCGCTATTCAATTCTGATTGCTTTACGACTCTGGACATTGACGGAACTGGATGACCGTGGAGATAGCGATGCTCATTTCCTCTTGTAAATGGTTATATCTACATAACGAAGATCCGTCCGGCCATTTGGTGTGATGAATATTGCCAGCGAGATCTGATGGCCAAAAGCTACGCGGCAAGAACTCTACCCTTTCTCCTTCTATTGGTGAGTATTTGTTATATTATTTATCCCGTTGTATAAATAGTCAATTTAATGATTAAAATAAGCATAATAAAAAAGGCTAGATTAAGCTAGGTATAGGATCATTGGAAGAATAGACGCAGGCTTTCCATTCTGGTGGGAGTTGGGAGACGATGGACCCCAAAAAAAGTCTATATTGTGTGTAAAAATCATAAGTGAGAATTAACATTATCAACATAAATATTGAAAAACGAACAATAAAATAATATATATAAAAACTCTGCAAATTATTCCACAATGGTTTATTATTTCCAAACAATTATACACCTAAAGTAACATTACCTTCCTAGTTACAAAGAAAAATTGATTCCAATTATTGGGCTCAACTTTTATTTTTTTTTAATCATTAGTAATATGCAAAAAAAAATAGCATTATTTCAGTAACACATTCGATATTTAAAAACCAAACAAAGTATATAACATTTGGAGTAGAACATATAAAAAAAAAAAAAACCGGAGACCATATCTTTGCTCCTAATTGTCCGATTTTAACAATTTTTTTTTGGTTTTAGTTAATTTCGTAAACTTTTAAAAAAAACATATACAACATCCCCAAAAAACAGTAAACTTTTTGAGTTATTCGGAATTAAATTTTACCATCCCTCGTAACTTTTTTTCCAGCTTCTTTTCGTTGAATTACGTTATATAGATAAATTTAAAGGGCGTAGAGAAAATTACTTTAGCCAAGTTTCATTTAAATCTGTATATTCGTTTAGGAATTTTTTGGTCGATCAAAATGGTTGATTATTGAAAATAATAAACCAAAAGGCTTTAGCTTAAGCTTGGTAGAGGATCATAGGAAGGATAGACGCAGGCTTTCGATTCTGGTGGGGCTGGGAGACGATGGACACCCAAAAAATGTCTATATTATGTGTAAAAATCATGAGTGATAATTAACATTATCAACATAAATATTGAAAAACCAACATCAAAATACTATATATATTTAAATGTTTGCGGTAGGTGAGATGAATTCTCAATTCTCTACTGCTTCGAATTCGCCTTCAGAAAATGTGATTAAATCTTCACTTAAATACGGATGGGTGTACACGAATGAATGATAAAATCCTAAGATTCTATGATTCTTGAATATAAACTAAAATGTCTGTAATAGGAAAATATGGCGCTGCAGGGGTGCCTATCCCCCCCCCCCCCGTCACCGCCATTATTGGCACAACAGACGCATGTAGCGATCCTTGGCCTGCTCAATTCCCTTTGCCCAGTGATCTCTGTTGGCTGCGCACCTGATGGATATGCCGTTTTTTCTCAAGTCTTCTTTCACGTTGTCTATCCATCTTGCCTTCGGTCTTCCCCTAGACCTAACTCCCTCTGGCTTCCCATGATAACGCCTTCTCGCTATCATCTATTCTCAGGACATGTCCTAACCATTTCGTTCGCTGCACTCGAGCGAATTGGGAGATAGACAGATCTCCGTACATTGAGTATACCTCCTTGTTTGTTCTCAAGCGAGGACCTCCTTCCTCCAGTTTAGGTCCTATTATCCGTCTTAGTATTTTCCTTTCCAACCGATCTATTCGTTCAGCAGATGCCTTCGTTAGAGTCCATATCTCGCACGCATATGTTGCAATTGGCCGAATAATCGTTTTGTATATCCTAAACTTCCTTGTATGACTTGACCATCTATTTTTCAGAAGGCTCGCTAGAGAAAAGTAAGCTCTGTTGCCAGCCATTATTCTAGCTCCTATCTTCTTCTCTTCGTTGCTATTGTTAATTATGAACCAGAGGTAGATGAAGCTAGATACAGCTTGAAAAGTATGGTTTCTCAAGACATAGCGCTGTGGTGGATGGACAAGCTTATTCTTCCTTAAAACAAGGACCTTGGTTTTACTTTCGTTGATGCATAGCCCCATTTTCCCTGCCTCATTCTCCAACCTACTGCTTGGAAAACACTCTTCACTGCTTGAAGTGATCAGCCTGCAATGACCACATGGTCAGCATACACAAGCAGTTGAGTCATTCTGTGGAATATTGTTCCTCCGTTCTTTAATGTTGTCCTTCTCATGGTGGTCTCTAGGGCAATATTAATCAGTCCGATATCCGAGGCTTGGTTTTTGAGCTGAAGTAACTTGAGTCTTTTTAGAGGGACGAGTAGTCGGCCTAACCCTCCTCTTTTCTTAACCTGGACTTGGGACCAGACCATGGCGGAGTTGAACTTTGAGCAGGGGTGCCCAGTAGGGTGTTCCATGGTGTAAGTTGCGCCATCAAAATTTTTGAGGGGGGAGGAAATTTCGACGGAGTTATGAATTTTCGTACTAAGCGACAAGAGGAAAAACATGGAATACACCAAGCAAGTGTAATTGTATATGATCTACGATTTTTCTAATTCTATCTTAGCTTGCTCTGTTTTTAAGAAAAGGTGGGCAATAAAATATTTTGGGAGGAAGGGGGAAGGATAGGTTCTTACACCATTGACCTTGGGAGAGGGATGGGCACCCCTGAATTTGAGTATAGAGAAAGAACTATATTTTTTCAAGTGTATATTTTTTAAAAATGTTATTGGTATAATGATTTGAAAATACTTTATAGTTTTCTCGACCTTTACAAATGGTAGAGTTGCGTGCGTATGAATTCAATTGGCCGCTTTTTTTATATTAAACCGCGGATATTAAACGTGGATAACGTTGAAATTCGATGATAATACATACGATAATCTGATAGGTATGATATGTTATAGGCTGTGGCAATCGATTGGTGTCAACCCCAAGAATTGGAAGGAACATCTTCCGATGGAGGTAAGTTTTCAACAATTACTCTTCTCATTCATAGCAATTATATAACGTCAAAATTGCGCACTAGCGGATCCAGGATTTAATTTGGGGGGGGGGGCTTCAGCCCGAAAGCTTTTTTTTCATAAAAATAACGATAATTATTTTGGAAAAAAATAAAGAAACTAACTACCTATATGAAATGGTGTTTAAGCTTTTTAATTTTTTTTCCCATAAAACATGGCTAATTCCAAAGCCCTCTCCCCCTCCCCCCTAGACCCGTCCGTGATATTGCG